TGGGGAAGGGGAAATGAGCAGAATGCAAGCGCAGCAGAACGAGCAGGAGGCGAATCAGCGACCGCAAAATGTGGAGGAGGGGCAGCAGGGTGAGCAGAATGAAGAGCAGCAGCAGCAGCAGCAGGAAGAGACGAAGGCTTGTCTTGTGTCTTCTGCCTCTTACCCTTCCCTTACTACTCCTGTTTTATCCATCAACTCTCCTCCTCCTCCCCCTCATCTCCCTCCTGCTGCTTCCACACAGACTGCAGAAGCTGCTACAGATGCCGCTACAGGTGTTGCTACAGATGCTGCAAGCAGTGCTGCTACAAATGCCGCTACTGACGGTGACGCCACGGCTGCTACAGATGCTGCAGCAGCCCCGGTCACTGCCCCTCTATGCACCAATGCTGCAGTAGCGGCCCCTAGTCCTTCTGCTACAGCTGGTGGTGCCTTTGCCACGGCTGCTACTGTTGATGGTGCGTCTGCTCCTGCTGCTACAGCTGGTGGTGCCTCGGCTGCTAATGCCTTTGATGCCTCTCCCCTTCTTCTGAATGTCGCTGCTACTGCATCCGATTCGTTTGCTCCTCCTGCTGCTGCTCCTGCTCCTGCTCCTGCTCCTGCTCCTGCTCCTGCTCCTGCTTCCGTGCAACATCCAACAATAGCAGTGGCACTAGCAGTAGCAGCAGCACCAGAGAATCAGGACTTACTGCCATCAATGGCTGTGCCAGCAGCAGCCATATTAGCATCAGCAGTGCCAGCACCACCACTATCAGCAGCAGCAGCAAAAGCAGCAGCATCAGGAGCAGCAGCAGAAGCAGTACCTGCACCAGCGGTACGAACCGCTTTAACGCCACACCGCCCCAGCACCAGGCACAGTAGCAGCACCAGCAGCAACGGCACCAGCACCAGACACAGCAGCACCAGCAGCAACGGCGCCAGCACCACAAGCACAAGCACCACAAGCTCAAGCACCACACGCACAAGCACCACAAGCACCAGCACCACAAGCACCAGCACCACAAGCACCAGCACCACAACCAGCACCACAAGCACCAGCACCAGCACCAGATGCAGCCCCAACGCCAGCAGCAGTATTATCAATAGCACTGCAAACGACAACAGCAGAAGTAGCAGCATCACCAGCAGCAACACCGCGATCACATGCAGCAATACCGTTAGCATCACCAGCAGCAGCAGTGGCAGCAGCGGCGGCATCAGCATCACCAGCAGCAGCAGCTGTGCCACCACCGCCAGCGCCAGCAGCAGTATTGCCATTAGCACCACACACACCAACAGCAGAAACAGCAGCATCATCACCAGTAGCAGCAGTGCCAGCAGCAGCAATACCACCACCACGAGCAGGGCCGCATCATCACCAGCAGTAGCAGTGGCATCATCACCAGCAACAGCTGCGCAGTTAGCAGGAGTAGTACCGTCACCAGTCCCAGCGGCAGTACCGTCACTAGTACCATCAGCAGTGCGAGTGGCAGCAGCAACGGCAGAGGGGGAGGAGGAGCGGTGGACAGGGAGGGAGTGAGAGGGAGAGGAACAAAGAGAGGAGGGATAGAGGACAGAAAAGAAGCTGTGGGCAGAAAAGAAGCTGTTGACACAGCTCAAAAGAGGAAAGGCGAGGAGGACAGGGGGGATGGTTATGAGTCGACTCAAATGGAAACTCAAAAGCGAAAGCGTGAAGAGGACAGGGGGGATGGTTATGAGGCACCTAAGAAGAGAAAAGGCAGGGAGAGTAGGGAAGCGGTGGAGGGGAGATTGAGGGAGTGTGTGGGGGAGAGGCGGCTGTGGCAGCTGCTGGAAGACAGAAGCCCGTTGCTGGCGTCTCTAAAGGCGCACGTGAAGCTGCTGTGGAAAGCAGGGATAGAGGCAGTGCAGGTGAGAGGCGCGGTTTGAGGTGAATATGAGCACAGGTCAGAGGGAGGTCGAGGGGGAGTGTGGGATGCGAGAGGCGGCTGTAGCAGCTGCTGGAAGACAGAAGCCCGTTGCTGGCGTCTCTAAAGGCGCACGGGAAGCACCTATGGAGAGCTGGGAAGACAGGCAGTGCAGGTAACGGGATTGGTGCGGGTAAAATGAGAAACTAGATGGAGAATTATTGGTGACCTCCTTTCCCTCTGGCTTCCCACCCCTCCCTACACTCACCCACGCCTCTTACTCAGCTTTTGAGGCGCCTCAAAAGTCCCTCCCTACACTCACCCACGTGAGCATCCTTTCCCTCTGACTCAGCCGTTACAAGACCTGCTATTGGCGCATGACATCACCCTGGAAGTTCCGAAGGGGGAGAGGAAAGGGGCTCTCTGACTGTTCGCACTGCTACTCGGAGCACTGGAGGTGAAAATCCGTGCCCTCTTTCTTCCCCCTCCCTCCCGCCTTGCCCCCCCCCCTTCCTCCCTTACCAGCCGTTTCAAGCCCTGCTACTGGCGCTTGAAATCACGCTAGACAACATGAAGGGCGAGAGGAAAGGGGCGCTTCAGCTGTTCGCACTGCTGCTGGGAGCACCCAAGGTGGGAGCACTGCTGCTGGAAGGTGGCATCACGTCCCTCTTTCTTCCCCCTCCCTGCCTTTACCCCTCCCCCACTTCCGTTACCAGCCATTTCAAGACCTGCTACTGGCGCTTGAAATCACGCTAGAAGACCTGAAAGGGGAGAAGAAGGGGCTTCTTCAACTGTTCGCCTTGCTGCCGGGAGCACTGGAGTGCGCTCTTTCTCTCCCATCTTTACCCCTCCCCCCCGTCCTGTTACCAGCCGTTTCAAGTCGTGCTACTGGCACACGAAATCACCCTTGGAGATCTGAAAGAGGAGAAGTAAGGGGCTTTGCAGCTGTTCACGCTGTTGCTGGGAGCACCAGAGGTGACCCTCTCTGTCTCCCCACCCACCCTACACTCCCTTCCCTCCCTTCCCCTTACCCAGCCGTTTCAAGACCTATTGCTGGCACATGAGATAACTCTAGAGGACCTGAAAGGGGAGAAGAAGGGGGCTCTTCAGCTGTTCGCGTTGCTGCTGGGAGCACCGGAGGTAACATCGTTACGAAAGGATGAGTTGGCAGAAGTGATTATAAGGGCGGATGCATGGGAGAGAGTGAGGGGGGAAGGTAGGGGGACGACAGGAGGGAAAAGAGGGGTTGAGAGGGGGGGGAGAGAGGGGGGAGAAAGGGGGGGAGAGAGGCGGGGATAGAGGTGGGGAGAAAGAGACTAGAGCAGTAGCTGGTGTGGAGATGGGAAGCGAGAGAGGAGGAGAAAGAGGGGCTACTGCAATGGCAGCAACAGGATCATCCGTGGGTGAAGCAGCCACAACCGCAGCAGCAGCAGCAGCAGCAGCAGCTGCAGCCATAGCAGTAGCAGGAGAATTACCACCACCACCATTGCCACAACCAATAGTAGCCGCTAACTCAGCAGTAGCTTCAACAGCAGCAGCAGCCACTAACTCAGCAGTAGCAGCAGCATGCACAGAAACAGCAGGACCAGCTGTGCCCCTACCCACAGCACCTTCAGCAGCAGCTCTACCTGCAGAACCGTCCCCAGCATCCCTCCCAACTGCACAGAACCGCACAGTATCCCCGCAACCTCCCTCGCAGTTGCCAGGACTCCTTTTACCTCAGGAAATTGGGCTGTCAGGTATTGGGGATGAGCGGATTGCAAGGTTAAACCGGCCTGCAGATGTGCTTCTAACGGATTTCCTTGAAAGGAGGATGCAATGGGAGTACACGGAGGAGCGGGAGCTGCTGGCTGCCAAGCTGGAGGCATACGTACGATCGCTCATCAGGACGAACCCAGGGGCGCTCAAGGTGAGGCACAGCTAGCGCGGTTCACACTCTTAATCTGGAGGCATGCGTGGGAGAGAGGGAGCTGCTGGCTGCCAAGCTGGAGGCGTACGTTTGATCGCTCATCCGGACGAATCCCGATGCGCTCAAGGTACGGCCTTTGTAGGATAAACCCCGGGGCGCACAAGGTATGGCACTCGTGGGAGGTCCTTGAGTGGAGGATGCAGTGGGAGCACACGGAGGGAGGAGAGGCTGCTAAGCTGGTGCTGGTACCGCTATCCTCGGTGCTGGTACCACTATCCTTGGTGCTGGTACTACTATCCTTGGTGCTGGTACTACTATCCTTGGTTCTGGTACCACTATCCTTGGTGCTGGTACCACTATCCTCGGTGCTGGTACCACTATCCTTGGTGCTGGTACCGCTATCCTTGGTGCTGGTACTACTATCCTTTGTTCTGGTACTAATATCCTTGGTTCTGGTTCTACTATCCTTTGTTCTGGTACCGCTATCCTTGGTTCAGGTACTACTATCCTAGGTGCTGGTACTACTATCCTTCGTCCTGCACTGCGCAGCGGAGGAGAATCTGCAGTTTGAGAAGCGGGACGTGCTGAGGGTGGTGGCGCTGATGCTGGGTTGCACCGTGACTGCCAAGGCGAAGAAGCTGGACCAGGTCAAGTCCATCAGTGGCAATCTGCTCTGGCAGGTTGATTTCTCAAAGCCTCTCGGCCTTCCCCCTCCCCCTCCCCCCCCCCAATCCTGCTCGCTCCCCCTTTCTGTCCCCGTTATAAGCAGGTCTACCAGACGCTGTTCTTTGCACAGTGTGCAGCGGAGGAGGATCTGCAGTTTGAGAAGCGGGACGTGTTGAGGGTGGTGGCGCTGCTGCTGGGGTGCGCCGTGACTGCCAAGGCGAAGAAGCTGGACCTGGTGAAGGCTATCGGTGGCAGTCCGCTCTGGCAGGCACATAAAAGGAGAGAGAGGGGAAGAGGGGCTTCAGAGAAAGGTGGAGGAGGGGTGGGAAGAGGAGGAAAAAAGGAGCACCAGCACCAGCACCAGCAGCAATATCACCACCAATTACAGCAGCAGCGACAACTGCTGCAGCAGCAGCAGCAGCAACAGCAATGGCAGCACCAGCAGCAACAACTACTGCAGCAACAGCAGAAACATCAACAGCAACAGCAGGAGCAGCGGCAACAGGAGCACCACCACCTGCAGCAGCAGCACTTGGAGGAGGGGCAGAGCCGAAAGGGGATCCAGACCTGTGGTATGTACAATGAGAGCTTGCTGCAGGCGTTGGCAGGGCAGAGTCCGGAAAGGGGAGATGAGAGGGAGGAGAGAGGAGAGGAAGGCATGAATGGACGTGAGGTGGAGGGGGAAGCCCGACACGCCCAAGGAGGGTTGCGAGGTGAGGGAGAGCAGGCGGGAATAGCGGGAGAAGATAAGGAAGAGAAAGAAATCCGGGAAGAGAGGGAAGAGAAATATAAGGACTTCGTAGAGAAAAAGGGAACCGTGGACTTTCCTGGGGGGGGAACGAGGGAGCTTGAGTCTCAGGCAAAGCGTCACCTGGATAACTTCTTGGGACGCCGGCACCATCTTGACGAGGTGATGGGTGAGGTTTCGAGTACAGGTAGGGTGACGTTGCAGCAGTTGCAACGGCTGAAGAATTTGCTTCGGGCATATGCTGCATATTGTGAAGCGCAGAACGTGTTAGAAGAGCAGTGTGTTGTAACACAAAGCGCGATTTATGAATAGAATTGTTTGAATTGTAAAGAAACATGCGTCTTCTTTGTAATTGTGGAACCACTAAAACAATAGCGGTGTATTGGACACCTGAGACTCCGAACCTCTCTGACACAATGAGGGCGCAACGGATCAGGTCTGGAAGGGTTTCCAGCCAACCAAGATTCAATGGGAACCGCAGATCAACAGGTTTCACTGCTCTGCAGCGTACAAAAGCTTCGAAAACCATTCTGTTATCTGCTGAGCAGGCCCCCAGAAGTCAGGAAAATTCCCTTGATTCAGGAAAAAAAACAGGGTGTTGAGGGGTACCAGATCTGATTTGCTAGGGTTTTGTTTTTGGCATATCCTGAAATTTCAGGGTTTTTTTGTAAGGGATTTCTGTCAGGTCAGTTTTTTTTTGTAATGGATCCTGAAATTTCAGACTTGTATCCAGCATGGGTTCTGATTTTGTCAAGGGAGTGATTTGCGGGTCCCCCCCAGAATTACAGCGATATGCGCATATTCCCCCACAAAACTGGCCTGACTGCCAGGTTCCCGCCTGCAGGCATCGTTTGCTGAGTCACATGTTGCCGCGCTGCCTCACGGCATTGGTCCTTCTCAAAGTGTCGGCCAGCAAACAGTTTGCCTGCATGCGTGGATTGGTTGCCTTTGTAAATGCTGCCTGAATAGCCAATCACGTGTACGCCAGCGATGATGACCCAGCTTCAACACCACACTCCGGTTCGACGCCGACGCGCATGCGCCGCGCTAGTTTCGGTCCAGATTCAGGAATACAGGAAGCCAACTGTGCGTGGCTGGCAAAGTGTTCGCGCCTCGCCATCGCTCCCTTTCCCCCCTGCGTCTTCTTCATCTGTTTCTTCCCACGGTAGAAACAGCCAGTGCGTTAGCCACTCCCAGCGTGACCTTCCCCCCACAGTGTCGTTGTTTTACAACCACTCCGTCGTGTGTCTCTGCTCGTCGACCACCCTAGTGAGCCCCGTCCACATGCCTGAGTCAGGCGACGTGGAATTGGATGACGATGGCGACGACAGCGGCAGTCACCGTGACGAAGCCCCCACTGGGCTTGACATGCTCCTTTGGACGCTAGGTAGTTTTCCGAAGACTCCTCGTAACCCTCGGACGGAACAAAACCCCCTATGTGCCTCGCAGTCGGTCGCCTCAACTTCTCAAGGTGTTGTCGAGCCGAATTCCGTGCCTATTCTAGGCCCATCCCTTGCTAATGCTTTTACCTGTAGTCCAGGTTCCGCCACCCCCGTGAAACCTGGCGGTCGATACTGGCAATCCACCCTGTGGAATTTCCCACGCGGTCAAGCGACGACGCCCCGCCCCTCAGCCATGTGCGAAGATGACGACAGCGATAGCGACGACACTACCGCTGCACCCGACAAGTTTCGATCGCCTGAGGATGTCTACGGCGAAGCCCTCAGCAGGTTTAATACGCGGTGGTCTGAGCGGTTTCCCTGGCTTATGATCGTTAAGACTGACGCTGGATTCCCTGCGTTTAAATGCAGTCTGTGCCTTGAGCATGCAGGACTCAGAGGGAAAGCCGGCAAACGCGGCGCAGGGCTGACGGACGTGCAGTCGCAGGCATTCAACAGGCACGCCGGGTCGGCCAAGCATCGCCTAGCCGTGACAAAGCAGCAGGCGCTGCTGCAGGACGCAACCAACCAGATGCGGATCGACCAGCTTCCTCAAGCCGCAGACCTGGAGAAGGAACGTGTGACTGCGCTGCTTGACGCGCTCTACTTCTGTTGCAAAGGCAACGAGCCGATGGAAAACTGGATCAGGCTCGTGCGCTACCTCAGCCAACGTCGGCACGAGCACTTCCCCGAGCAGGCCTATGGCACGTACTACAACAGGTATTCTTGTGTGCTGTTTGATTTTGTTTGCATTCATCTATCATGCATGACGAATGTTCATATTTCAGCATACTAATTATCTATACGCCCTTGGCTACTGCAGTTATGGGTACGGGGAGTTCACACAGTCCATGGCAACCTGGCTGCAGACAACACAGTTGGACCACCTTCTGAGGAGCCCGTTCATCGGTTTGAGCATCGATGAGAGCACAGACCGCTGCCGCGGCAAGCACCTCATCGTGTTTGCGCACTTCATCCGTGAGAACCAAGTCGTCTGCGAATACCTGGCCTTGCTGAGCGTCGACAAGGCTGACGCTGCCTCTCTGCTCGCTCTACTCCTGTCTCACATCAACGCCATCGGTGTCGACCTCCGGCGGGTCGTGGGCATAAGCACCGATGGCGCTGCTGTTATGACGGGGTCGAAGGCTGGGCTTGTGACGCGGCTGCGGATGCAGATTCCGCACTTGGTGTCGTGTCACTGTATTGCACATAGGTGAGCGTTGTTGTTTACCGCTACTGTACCTCGGTTAAGTGCACTGGTGGTTTCCGCATGTGCAATGTGTATTACCCCACTCCCAAGGCCCAACATGTACAATTTTTTTCTCGTTTTGTCCCACCCTCCAGAGAGGCACTGGTAGCTAAAGCAGCGGCGGAATCCTTGCCAGCGTTCAAGATGATTGACGATGTCATCAAGGAGCTCACTGAGTACTTCGGACGATCCGGCCCATGGCACCAGCGCTTCTTGGACCTGCAGGAAATCTTCACCTCGACGAACCTCGAACTTCAGGGCATTCATAACATCCGATGGCTCTCCCGCGGCGAGGCTGTCATTAGGTTAGTCAAGGTTCTACCCGCCATCGTCGTCATGCTCTCGGAGTGGAATGATACTCGGCTCTCCAGGATAGTGACAAGCTACCGCTTCTGGTTCCTTGTCATGTTCCTTGCTGACGTACTGGAGCAGCTGAACATCCTCAACAAGTCCTTCCAGGAGCGTCAGGTGAGTTTTTCTTTACTGTGACAATGAGTCGTTATTAAACCACCCTGGTTCTGTATACATACACGTTCCCCTCCCTTCCTCCCCTCCCTCTCTTCCCCGCCCCAACCTCAGCTGGAGTACTCGGCCGTCCACGCGCAGATCATCCGCACAACAACCCTGCTGCAGAGCCGCTACGGGGACGCCGAAGACTTCGGCGGGGGACTGAAGGACCGTCTCACCATCTTCCTCACCCGTCATGGCCCGGGCGGTTCTCGCGAGGTCACAGCTGAGGGGGTTGACTCTGACGGTCGTCCGGCTTCCTTTACCTTCGTGCTGCATGAAGATCGCTTGCCAGGTTATCCGGGGGAGGGCGATCACGACGCGTGCTAGAGGCTCTGTGTGGCCATGGCGACAGGCATGGTGTCGAGCTTGAAGGAGCGGCTGGGTGATCTGGGGAAGCTCTCTGGCTGCCGCCTCTTCTCTGTCAACCTCTGGCCCCCTAACTGGGAAAGAGCTGCACGCAAGGCTCAGTGCCTTGACTGGTTCTTCTCCCTTGTTACTCTTTATCGTGCAAATGAGGCAGAGGAGATTCTTCCTGGCATTGACAAGCGTGCAGCCATGAGAGAGCTGCCTCATTTCTGCCCTGTCATTGCTGCTCTTCCCCAGGCCGACCGAAGCTTTCACGCTGGGCTCACGGCCATGCTGAAGACACCTGTCTGGCAGGATTCTTACCCGATGAACCTGATGAAGCTGTGGATGGCGGTGGCAGTGCTTCCTCTCAGCACTGTGGAGTGCGAGCGCGGATTCTCTAGGCAGAATGTGATTAAGAGCTGGCTGCGTGGCAGCCTTAAAGATACTAGGCTTAGTGACCTCATGTGCATGTCACTGTTAGACTATGACCGGACTATGATGCTGTGGTGGAGATATGGTGCGCTTACAAGAAGCGTAAGCCCTTCAACAACACCCATCAGGCCAAGCAAGACGGCTCGAAGAAGGGGAAGGTAGTAGCAGAAGAGGCAGAGTGGGGTGTAGGTAGTAGTGACAATGTGGACGATCTTGATAATTTCGAGTAAAGTTCCTTGCTTCTCAATTTCCTCTTCATTTTGTCAATCAGGGAAAAAAAACCATCTATCTCTGTCCATTCAGCATTTTTGTCCCACTCAATCCTGACCCCTAAGCAAAAAAAATTGGGGAACTCTGAAAATTCAGGGAAAAAACCACAGGTAGTCCTTTGCAATCAGGATGACTTAAAACCAATCTGAGGGCCTGCTGCTGAGTCAAGCAAGGCAGCAGCTGTCAGAGGCTCCTCGAGATTGCCGAGTAAGCTCAGGTCGTGTAAGGCTGATTTCGGTCAAATTACCATCAGGAACTTATTTCTTGCCATTTAGTTTTGGCGTTTCTTCTTTTCCTGATCAACCGTTGATGTTCCTCGCGTAATCCGACAGTAATTAAGAAAAGCATTGAGTAATTGAGGTCGCTTCCAGCTTGCTCGTGACGGGACCGGAGAGTTCGTGTCACCCCATTGGACGAACCGAGATTGTCTCACCCCATGCTCATGTTGTAGTTAGAGACCATCGATTCGTACAGACCCTGGTTTCTTTTCTTCTATTCCCGAGGATTCACCGGTTTTTTGTCACAGCTCGGCGGATTCGTTACTAGCAATTGACCACGACCTACTGCAGGCAAACGGCCCGCCGATCCTAGCAAAGTCATGGGTGGTCATCTATCCGTCAATCGTAGTCGTCAATGTCCCGTGAGCCGCTCATGGGTCCAGTGGTGGTCGTCACCGGCTGCTCGTCCGGCGGAATCGGGTCCGAGCTCAGCAAAGCCTTCGCTGCCAAGGGCTGCCGCGTGTTCGCGACGGCGAGACGACCCGGCTCCATGCAGGATCTAGCAGGTACCGTACATATACATTGCCTTCAAGTGCTTGGCGCACTCGAAGCACTTGGCGCTCAAAGGCCACCAGTTGCTCGTCCGGCAGAATCGGGTGTCCGTAGGATCTAGCAGGTACCATACCGGCTAGAAGCCCCTGGATGTCCGGAAGAATCTGGATGTCCCTGTGCTTCCCCCCTCACAGCACTATGCTACCCCCCTCACAGCACTGTGCTTCCCCCCTCACAGCACTGTGCTTCCCCCCTCACAGCAATGTGCTTCCCCCTTCACAGCACTTTGCTTCCCCCTCACAGCACTGTGCTTCCCCCCTCAGGGCACTGTGCTTCCCCCCTCATAGAGCTGTGCTTCCCCCCTCACAGCACTGTGCCTCCCCCCTCACAGCACTATGCCTCCCCCCTCACAGCACTGTGCTTCCTCCCTCACAGCACTGTGCCTCCCCCCTCACAGCACTGTGCTTCCCCCCTCACAGCACTTAGCCTCCCCCCTCACAGCACTTTGCTTCCCCCTCACAGCACTGTGCTTCCCCCCTCAGGGCACTGTGCTTCCCCCCTCACAGAGCTGTGCTTCCCCCCTCAGGGCACTGCGTTTCCCCCCTCACAGCACTGTGCTTCCCCCCTCACAGCACTGTGCTTCCCCCCTCACAGCACTGTGCCTCCCCCCTCACAGCACTGTGCCTTCCCCCTCACAGCACTGTGCTTCTCCCCTCACAGCACTGTGCTTCCCCCCTCACAGCACTGTGCTTCTCCCCTCACAGCACTGTGCTTCCCCCCTCACAGCACTGTGCCTCCCCCCTCACAGCACTGTGCTTCCCCCCTCACAGCACTGTGCTTCCCCCTCACAGCACTGTGCCTCCCCCCTCACAGCACTGTGCCTTCCCCCTCACAGCACTGTGCTTCCCCCCTCACAGCACTGTGCTTCCCCCCTCACAGCACTGTGCCTTCCCCCTCACAGCACTGTGCTTCCCCCCTCACAGCACTATGCTACCCCACCCACAGCACTGTACTTTGAAGCAGTGGGTACGACAATCAGGGGGTTGGGGGGGGAGAGTGCAGGGGGGGGGGGGCAGAGAGAGAGAGGCGGAGGTATAGGGCGAGAGAGAGAGAGAGAGAGAGAGAGAGAGAGAGAGAGAGAGAGAGAGAGAGAGAGAGAGAGAGAGAGAGAGAGAGAGAGAGAGAGAGAGAGCATGAGTCCCTCCCTAGCTATTTAAGCCCTCTCCCTAGCTCATTCTTCTTGTTTAGTTTTCAGTTCTTCATTTTCTCCCACCCTTGGTGGCGGCTAGAGAGAGGAGAGAGAGAGAGCGAGAGTGAGAGAGAGCATGAGTCCCTCCCTAGCTATTTAAGCCCTCTCCCTAGCTCATTCTTCTTCTTTAGTTTTCAGTTCTTCATTTTCTCCCACCCTTGGTGGCGGCTCGCGTCGGCGGCCTCCCACCCTTCGGCCGCGCGTGAGGGGCGGCAAGTACACACGGTTACAATATCAACTAGGACAACGGCAAGGACACAAATACGGCGTCTACATCCTGCCCACGCTACACTCAGCAGACCAGCATGGAGAGCCTCACCAGAGCGCTCACGCTGGCGCGCACTTCACCAACAAGGACCTATACACGCCGGGAGCCCGTCATGCGATTTGGTCCGCTCCAGCCTCCTCAAGCAGGGCCTTCACGTAGTCCCCCAGGAGCATCAGCGCTGACACGGCGCCGCCAACGATGTCTACAGCTGCAGCCGAGTCTACGCTCGCCGATACTGCCCGCATCACGGCGAGCAGGCATGGGTCCAACACGGTTCCCGGGGCGGGCGCAGGCTGCACTCGCGTTGACATGACAGCCAGATCAGCTGCAGCCATCGCGCAGCGGTGGAGTGGATCATGAGGCATCTTGCACGGGCTCGCTGAGCTTCGTAGAACGGAGTGCGAGTCCGTCAGCATCTCCACAACATACCCCATCGCCCGCTGCGCGTGCCAGAGCCGACGAAGCGTGGCGACTGGGATCGCAGTCTCCACCAGGCGCTCCCTCCCACGCAGGCGCTCCAGCTGCGCCCTCTGCGGCATCCGCAGCCCAACCGAGCGACGCCGCCCCTGGTCCCCAGGAGGCGAGTCCTCACCGGTGGACTCAGCCCCCCCCATCTCCGCTGCTTCTGCCCCCCCCTCAACTCCAGTCGGCGACGCCAGCGCGTGACGAGGGGGGACAAAGGGCGCTGTCGCCCGTTCGCCAAACGACGCTGGAACCACCGACGGCGGCTGGCCGTGGGGCCATCCTACCACCGATGCATCCAGGGGCATCGGCTGCCAGGGCGGCAGGGTCTCCGCGGACCGCACGTTCAACTGACGCGGATCGAAGGGACCGGTAGGGGGGAGGATCGGCGGTGGAGGTGCAGACAGAGGGGGCGGCACGAGGTGCTGGCTGTCGAGGAGCAGGGGGGACATCACAGCACGTGGAGGAAACACCTGCGCCGGCACCCGTGGCGGCGGGAAACGCGCCGGCTACTGGTGCGCCTGCTGGTACTGCTGGGACGACAGTAGCTGCGGGAAATACACTAGAGCCTGCTGGGGCTGGGCGACAGCGCGGACCAAGCCCTTGAGAGTCGCGGCAGCCCGCCCCAGGCGCCTCTCCGCTGCCGACCCGCGATTACTCCCAGGCGCCAGCCCTCCAGCCGATGCGCTGGCCCGAGCGCACGCGCGGCGCCTGCGGAGTCCGATGTTGCTGCACCGGCTCCGCCTGTGGGCGGCGCTGGGGCGTCCCACGGCGAGAGGGATGTTGCTGGTGCGGCGGCTGATGCACCTCGCCATGCATCACAGGTCCACGACCTGCCTCCAAGGCGCACTCGTGAGATTTCTCCTCGTGCCTCTGCGGCGCGGATGGTCTACTCTGCGATCGCCCACGCATCCGCTCGGGAGTCTGTTGGCGAGCCGTCGAGGGGACGAGGAGCCCGCGCTCCCAATCACGGTTTGACTGGGCCGGAGGATTCGCCTGACCTTGGGGGAACACACTATCCCCGGTGCTCTCCAAATCGGCAGAGCGCTCACGAACAGGTCGGCCCAGCCCGAACCCCGTTAGCTGGTCCATCCCAAAGCGGCGCGCCGCGCTCGGCTCCCCCCACGACTCGGCACGAACGTCGGACAGCGACCGGGGCAGCCCCGAGAGGAAATCAAGGAGGAGGGCGCAGCAGACACGACACGCGGGCGGTGAGAGGATGCGTTCGCGGGACGGCTAGGCGCGGCGATTTGTCCTCCGACGGAGGGCCGCTGAACGGATTCCAGCAGGCTGCGAACAGGGCTTTAAGAGCTTCAGAACTGCAAGGAACAACTGGTGAGGAGGAACGGGCCGATGGAACCTATATACCCGGGGAGCAGGGGGAGTCCACAACTGAGACATCCAGTGAGGAGGAAGGCGTCGAGACGAGCAGGCGCGCTCAACTCCCAGATCTAGGGGACAAGGGTCCAGCCGCATGCGTAATACTCGGGCACTGCTGGACACCTATCCCCAGGCGGCTCTGCAGCTGTCCCCAGAAGAACTGGCAAATGACACCTCCCGATTCGCCGAGATCGCCAATTGGGACATCGCAGTTCTCTGCGACAGTCGCCAACCCCCACTCTCCCCCCGGTTACCTCCATCGAGGGTTGGATCCTGTTACTCTATCTCCTGCGCCTCACCCTTCGCCTACCTTCGCCGAGACGTCCTGATTGGCCCGCGGCGGAGAAACGCCTTCGACAATTTCTCGCGGGCCAATGGGACACACTGTACCAAGCAGCCGCTTCCGCTGTCACCCTGCCACCCCCACCCCACCACGTACCTGACACCCTCGGGAAAATATCCCGAGCCGAGGGGTTGGTACGACGAGGCAGCTTGCGACGGGCACTGCTCGCGTTGACTTTGACCCCAGTCAGCGAGTCCACCCCCACAGTCCTGGATGCGCTGAAGTCAAAACACCCCCCCCCCGCTCGTCGAAGACCTCAGCTGGCCGCAACTGGGCAAGAACTGCAGACCGCTAACAATCGACTTCGCTGATTTCGCAAAGCTCCTCTCTCGCTGCGAAAATGGGGTTGGAGCGGGGCCCTCGGGAATGACCTTCGAGCACCTTCGCGATGCCTCGCTATCCAACCCCTCAGTCGCCAAACACCTTCACGAGCTCGTTCAGCGCCTAGTCGCGGGTAACCTGCCGCACGAAGTCAGCCAGCTCGTGACTTCTTCACGCCTCCTGGCACTTACCAAACCAGATGGGGGTACCCGCCCCATCGCCATAGGCGAATGTCTGCACCGCCTAGCGGCAAAATCCGCGCTAATCTCCTCAACGCAGCCGGCGCAAGAATATTTCCTACCACACCAATTCGGGGTAGCTATCAGGAGCGGAGGAGAAATCATCATCCACGCCACCAGGGGCTTTACCTCCGCGCGCCCGGGCTCGCTGATTTTGCAAGTTGACCTTTCAAACGCGTTCAACAGCGTCGACCGCGGGGCCATCATTCACGCCATCAATAACTCGCCCCTGCACCCCCTCCTACCATTCTTCCCCCCTGCCCCCCTGCATACCCTTCAACACAGACGGGGTCCGCGTGCTTGGCAGCTTTATAGGCACGCCAGAAGGAACAGCCGGTTTCCTCTGCACCCAGCTGGCCGTGCTTGCCGAACCCCTCGCCACTCTGGCCACGATGGACCCACAGTCCTCCTCCTTCCTCCTCACACGCTGCGTGTCTAGGCGCGTCTCTTACTTAACCCGCACCACCCCCCTGGATTTCCTGCCCCTGGAGGTCTGGTCCGAGTGGGGCAGAAAGCTCTTCCTCACCCTACTACCTGCCTGCAACCTCCAACCACCACGAGGCGAGTCAGAGCAAGCGCGTACCTGGGCCCAAGCGTCCCTCCCTCCCTCCCTCGGAGGGCTGGGGCTCACCGACCCAGCGATTGAAGGGCATCCAGCCTTCCTCACCAGCGTCACCCAAGCCCAGGGCCTCCTAGCTGCCCTCCCAGCAGCGTCCAGAGGGCCCCTAGCCGACACTGTACGCCACCTCACACCACCCTTCACCAGCCCCACCCACCTGCATACCTGGCTGGCGAAGTGTGAAACGGCGATGCCCCCACGGGCACTGGAGCTTCTACAATCCGAGCGGGGAGAGCCCTCGGGGCCCCCCCTACAACACCGCCTATCCCTTGAGGTCCAGGCCGTGCGGTATGCCGACCAGGTGACGGCCTCGCGGACAATGGACCCAAACCCCCACTCCGGTCATACGCAGCGCCTCTTCTCCCTGGCTGGATATGGAGCAGGAGATTGGCTCCATGCCATCCCAATCTTCCCATCCCTCCGTCTCGAAGCTCCACACTTCGCCATTGCCCTGGCTTTCCGCCTCGGCCTTCCGTTCCCAGCCCCCCGCACATGCAACTGCACCGAGGAATTCGAAATCCTCGACACAAGGCTGCCCAACCACCTTTTTCGGTGTGGCACCGGGCACGGACGGACAGACACCCATAACGCCCTGCAGGATGAGAGCATCCGGATGGCCCGGGACGCTGACTTCATAGTCACCAAGGAGACCACCATCTACAGCCCCGTGGATGGCCACAAGGCTGACTTCGCACTCCGCGACCGCAGCTCCGGAGCTGTCTGGATCTGTGACGTCACCGTCACAGACCCCATCAGCAGCCGGGACCCGGACACACGGAAAGGACGGGGATACATGGCCTGGGAGCAAGCCGACAAGAAGATATACCATTACCGAAATCGGGCTCCCTACGTTGGTTTCTTCCCACTGGCGGTCGAGATATACAGCTGCCCTTGCGCCGAAGTCCCTACCTTCTTGAAGCTGCTGGCAGATACAGGGGCCAGGAGGCTCTTCAATGCAGACCCAAGTTCCTACCAAGCAGCAAAACTGCTCCACCAGTTTCGCCAACGCTGGTCAGAGACGCTACAGCGGGCGCAGGCCTTGGCTTACCTGGGCAAGGTTAATGAAGCCTCCCCTGCCCCCCACACCCCCGTGGGCACCCCTGACGCCGACATGGCACCAGGTGACTGTTTTGCCATAGCAGAGCCCCTAGGGGAGCTCGAGTAGACTCGGGGCCCTTTAAACATGCACGTACCCTGATTTGTTGCCTCCTGCCTGCCTAGCCTGTACCCAGGATTCCGAGCAATAAACGGACCGCTTGAGAGAGAGAGAGAGAGAGAGAGAGAGAGAGAGAGAGAGAGAGAGAGAGAGAGAGAGAGAGAGAGAGAGAGAGAGAGAGAGAAAGAGAGAGAGAGAGAGAGAGAGAGAGAGAGAGAGAGAGAGAGAGAGAGAAAGAGAGAGAGAGAGAGAGAGAGAGAGAGAGAGAGAGAGAGAGAGAGAGAGAGAGAGAGAGAGAGAGAGAGAGAGAGAGAGAGAGGATCGTGAGGCATCTTGCATGGGCTCGCTGAGCTCCGTAGAACGGAGTGCGAGTCTGTCAGCATCTCCACAGCATACCCCATCGCCCGCTGCGCGTGCCAGAGCCGACGAAGCGTGGCGACTGGGATTGCAGTCCCCGCCAGTCGCTCCCTCCCACGCAGGCGCCCCAGCTGTGCTCTCTGCGGCATCCGCAGCCCAGCCAAACGACGCCGCCCCTGGTCCCCAGGGGCCGAGTCCTCACCTGTGGACTCAGCCCCCCCCATCTCCGCTGCTTGTGCCCCCCCCTCAACTCTAGTCGGCGACTCCAGCGCGCGACGGGGGGGGACAAACGGCGCTGTCGCCATATCGCCGAAGGACACTGGCACCACCGGAGGCGGCTGACGGCCAGACCAACCCACCACCAATGTCTCCAGGGGCGGTAGCTGCCAGCGTGGCAGAATGTCTGAGGGCTGCACGTCCAACGGGTGCGGCACCGCACGTGGCTGGTGCGGAACGAAAGGGGCGGCAGGGGGGAAGCTCGGCGGAGGAAAGGTGGACGGAGGAGGCGGTGGAGGCTGTTGATAGGGGGGGAGTAGCGGAAGCGCCGCACTGCGCGGCGGGACCACCAGAGCCGACACCAGCTGCGGCGGGAAATGCGCCAGCTGCTGATGCGCCTGGTGATACTGCTGCGACGCCGAATGATGGGGGGGACACGGCGCTGGCTGCTGCGGTTGAGCGACAGAGCGGAGCAGGCCCTCGAGCGTCGCGGCAGCCCGCCCCAGACGCCGCTCTGCAGCCGATCCGCGGTTACTCCCCCGCCGGCCCGCCAGCCAGTGTGCTGGCCGGAACGTCCGCACTGTGCCTGCAGAGTCCGGTGCGGTTGCACCTGCTGGCGGTGCTGAGGCGCTCCACGACGGGGAGGATGCTGCGGCTGAGGTTGCTGACGTGCCGCGCTCTGGGCGCCGTGCACCACTGGTCCACGGTCAGGGTCCAGGGCGCGCTCAGGAGTCTTCTCCTCGCACCGCTGCGGGGTGGACGGCCGACTCCCCAACTGCCTGCGCATCTGCTCGGGGGTCTGCTGGGGGCCGGCGAGGGAATGGAGAGCCCGCGCTCCCAATCGCGGTTCGACTGGGCTGGGGGATTCGCCCGACCTTGGGGGGGCACACTCTCCCCAGTGCTCTCCAAGTTGGCAGAGCGCTCACGCGGGGGCCGGCCCAGCTCGAGCCCCAGCGGCTGGTCCATCGGGAAGAGACGCGCTGCGCTCGGCCCCTCCCACGACCCGACAAGTACGATGGACGACAGACAGGACAGCCCCGGGAGGAGATCAGGGAGGAGGACGTAGGAGAAACTCTGGGCGAGCAGCACGGGGTCGCGGACGCGGGCCTGCCAGGCGGGGCGACCTGTCCTCTGACGGGGGTCCGCTGAACGGTTTCCAGCTCGCAGCAAACAGGGCTTTAAAGGGCTTAGGATTGCAGGGAACTACTGGTGAGGAGGAACGGGCTGACGGAACTTATGTACCTGGGAGGGAGAGGGAGTCTACAACAGACGCGTCTAGTGAGGAGCGAGATGAGGAGACTCCCAGGCGCTCCAGACATGGAACCGCGGGCCCAACTCCCAGATCTGGGGGACAAAGGTCCAGCAGCATGCGTAATGCTCGGGTACCGCTGGACACCCATCCCAGTCAATCCCACAGCTGTCCCCAGAAGAGCTGGCGAGCGACGCCTCCCGATTCGCCGGGATCGCCAGCTGGAACATGGCGATATTATGCGACAACCGCCAACCCCCCTCTCCCGCCGGTTACCTCCCCAAATTCGTCAACTTTTCGCGCTAGCCTTGCTGACACCCCTCCTTTTCCTCGCCAGAAATCCAACCTCCGCCGAGGGTTGGATCTTGTTACTTTTCCTCCCGCGTCTCACCCTTCGCCTACCTTCGCCAAGACGTCCCGATTGGCCCGCAGAAGAAAAACGCCTCCGACAATTCCTCGCGGGCCAATGGGACGCTCTGTACCATGCAGTCGCATCTGCTGTCACCCTGCCACCCCCACCCCGCCACATACTTGACACCCTCGGGAAGATATCCCGAGCTGAGGGGTTGGTGCGACGTGGCAGCTTGCGACGAGCTCTGCTTGCGTTGACTTCAACCCCAGTCAGCGAGTCCACCCCTGCTATTCTGGAGGCGCCGAAGTCAAAACACCCCCACCCCGCTAGCCGAAGACCTTAACTGGCCGCAGCTAGGCGAGGACTACACGCCTCCCACTATCGATTTCGATGTCTTCGCGAAACTCCTCTCACGCTGCAAAAAAGGGGTTGGGGCGGGGCCATCGGGAATGACTTTCGAGCATCTCCGCGATGCCTCGCTTTCCAACCCCTCCGTCGCCAAGCACCTCCACGAGCTCGTTCAGCGCCTTCTCGCTGGTAACCTGTCGCACGAGGTCAGCCAGCTTCTGACCTCCTCACGCCTCCTGGCACTTACCAAACCAGATGGAGGTACTTGCCCCATCGCCATTGGCGAGTGCCTGCATCGACCGGCGGCTAAATCCGCACTCGTCTCCTCAACTCAGCCAGCACAAGACCGTTTTCTCCCTCACCAATTCGGGGTGGCAATCCGGAGCGGAGGGGAGATAATCATCCACGCCACCAGGGGCTTCACCTCCGCGCGCCCGGGATCGCTGATTCTGCAGGTCGATCTCACAAGCGCGTTCAATAATGTTTACTAGAAACTGAGAACTTGATTGATTAAACTGAGCAAGAGCATACATCCTTAAGTACCGAGCATCGGAGAGGATGGGAAGGGATAAGGGAGAATCTGAGGGAATCCCAAGGGAATCCTCCCAGGTCGTGGGGATTTGGGATGGATTGGGTTGGGATAGGTTGGGGATGAAAACATAGCTACACCCAACCTAACAAATATGTGTATCCCTAAAACCAACAAAGTGCCAACACACAAAATTGTGCCAACCAAATTGCAGCCTATCTCTAACAAACGTCTCCCGAATTGCAGCCTATCTCTAAAAATCGTCTCCTCAACTCAACCAGCACAAGACCATTTTCTCCCTCACCAATTCGGGGTGGCAATCCGGAGCGGAGGGGAGATAATCATCCACGCCACCAGGGGCTTCACCTCCGCGCGCCCGGGATCGCTGATTCTGCAGGTCGGTCTCACAAACGCGTTTAATAATGTTGACCGCGGGGCTATAATCTACACCATCTATCACTCGCCCCTACGCCACCTCCTACCGTTTATCCAGCTCTCGTATGGGGCACCGTCCCTGCTTTACCTCGACGCGGAATTCGGTAGCCCACCCCTACTGAGCGCGCGGGGAGTGCGCCAAGGAGACCCTATGGGCCCCCTGCTCTTCGCAGCAGCCATCCACCCTGAGCTACAGGCCACCGCGGCGAACCACCCCGAGGTCCTCTGTCTCGCCTACGCGGACGACGTGACCTTCGTGGGCGACCCAGGTGCCTGCACCGCGGCGTTCCTGAACTTCACCGCCGCCATGGAAGGCATCTGGTCCACCGAACGCCCCGCGCCTGGCTGCCTCCCGCCAGACATACCCTTCAGCAGCGAAGGGGTGCGCGTGCTGGGAAGTTTTTTAGGCACACCTGAAGGCACAGCAGGCTTTCTCTGCACCCAGCTGGCCGCGCTCGCTGAACCCCTCGCCACACTGGCCACGATGGACCCACAGTCCTCCTCCCTCCTCCTCACACGTGTTAGGATTAAGGACAGAGTCTAGGTGAACTTAGGAGCTAGAATTACTCAAAATATAAATCCGAAATTCTGGACAGAAAAGTCGTCTTCACAAGAAACGACGTCGACAAAACACTAGCCGTTGGAATGTCGCGAAACTTGGATATGTTGTAGCTCTTGATCTCAGCTACCGTTCCCAATTTGAATCACGTTGATTGATGAAGTATTCGCGACGCTATGGCTTTCGACGCACTAGGGGGTAAGCTGTAGGAGGAGAACTTAACTCAATCTCAAGAGTTCAATCAAAGTTCAAGAATCTCACAAGGAATTAGAAGGAGCAAGAGAAAGGTTGGGATAGGAAGAGAGGGATGAGAGGGAAGGTCCCAAGAGAGTCCCCAACCAAGGAAACCCCATAAGCACAAAGATTCCCTCCCTATAGGAACCCCAACTTTGACATTTGTCCCTTCCCAACCAATCCATCCAAGTTGGCCACCCTTGCCAACCTAGCTTGGTTGTTCCCAACCAATTTGCAGCTGTTACAGTAGAGTGACAAGTTTCCCCAACCCCAAAGGTCCCAACTCCATATAAAGTCACCCCACAACTTCACTTAGTAACCGCCGCAATTGTAACGCAAGCTCATGAACTTTGAATCTTCATAGCTTTCGCGTTCTTGCTCCGATTGAAGCGATTCTTGTTGCGTCGGAAAGATCTTCTCAAGATCTATTATCACAAATACCTGCTCAGACAGAATAACACAAAACACATTCCCAAACTCCAGAACACACCACACACAAATGCTTGCACATTCAAACCACACATGCAAGTTGAAAAAACATGGGATGGGAGGCAGACAGAATGTGATAGCATATGATGACATCACACAACAATCTCCCCCTCTGGCTGCCAACCATCATCGACCATACCACATCTCAAGCATGCATACTCAATGCACACTCATCCCAGCAAGCTTCATGCCCTTCCAATGATCCGCCTCCGCCAGACGCTTAGTGAAAATATCTGCTGCCTGCTGATGGGTCTTCACTATCTCCAGCCGCACCTCCTTATCAAGGAGTCTCCTCACCCAATGCCACTTAGGCCTTATGTGTTTTGTCAGCCCATGCAGACAAGCATTCTTGGCGAGCTTCACAGCGGACTCATTGTCACAAAACACAACTGTCGGCTTCTCCTGACCAACTCCCAACTCCTCCAACAAACGCCTTAGCCACACTACTTCCTTGGCCCCATGGTGTAAGGCCATGTACTCAGTCTCACATGAGGACAATCCCACCTCATTCTGCTTCTTGCTGCGCCAGCTCACAGCACCACCTCCTAGCAAGCACACATAACCCCCAATGCTGGTGCCATCCGCTTTCACTGAGTTGAAGCTAGCGTCAGTATAGCAACTCAAGAGCATCTCTCCACTCTTCACATCTGCAGCACCTCTCTGCAACCGCTGCCTCACTCCACTGTACTCCAATCCCACTGATGCCGTAGCGCTCACATAGCGGACCAACCTCTTGGCCGCTTCCAGCTGCTCATGACTAGGGCGTGAGACCACACTAGCCAATCGTGATGTAGCAAATGCAATGTCAGGCCGTGTATGATTTGCAGCATAATTCAGCGACCCAACCATCGAATGAAACAGCTTCCTGTCACTATCACCCACTACCTCCTCATCAGCACATGGCTCCACAGTAAACCCTGAAGGTAGTGGTGTTGCTGGCTTTCCCCCATCTTGCAGCCCATACTTCTCAGCCAGCCCCTCACAGTACTTCCTCTGGTGCAACCTCAGCACACCCTTTTCCACATCTCTCTCCACGTGCATCCCCAAGTAGTACTTCACCTCACCCATCTTGGAGCACTTGAACTGCATCTCCAGCATCTGCTCTGCGCTGTCCAGCAAAGCAGTTGATGCAGAAAAGAGAAGGATATCATCCACATACACCAAGAGCATGAGGATTTCGTCCTTCTCCTGCAGCAGGAACAGGCTGGGGTCACACTCACTCTTCTTGAAACCCCCAGCCAGCAGCGCCTCCTCCAACTTGTGATACCATGCACGAGGCGCCTGCTTAAGGCCATAGATGCCTTCTTCAGCCTGCAGACCCTGCCGCTCCCATCATCCAGCCCCTCTGGCTGCTTCATGTACACCTCCTCCAGAATGATCCCATTCAGAAAGGCAGTCACAATGTCCATCTGCCGTATCTTCCATCCCAGGAGTGCAGCTATCGCCAACAGCACCCTCAGTGTTGTTCCTTTCCCCACAGGAGCAAATACCTCATCATAGTCCTTCCCCTTTGTCTGCTGAAACCCCCGTGCCACAAGCCTAGACTTGTAGCGGGTCAGCTCCCCTTCAGGTCCATACTTGTGCCTGTAGATCATCTTGGAAGTGATTGCCTTCTTTCCAGGAGGCAAGTCACACAGGTCCCATGTCTCGTTCTCAATTAGGGACCCGAACTCCTCATCCTCACTCGCCTTCCACTTCTCCCCATTTGGTCCATTCAAGGCCTCCTCTCGAGTCTTGGGCTCAGGGATTGGTGCCCAGTAGCAGTGAGCGATCTCATCTTCCTCAATCTGCTCAACCACACTCCCAGCCTGCACCACATTCGGCTTGCCTCTTCCCCCATAGGTCAGCCTCACTGGAGGGCGCACATCCCTCCTAGGACGCTCAGGCGGGTGTGGAACTCGAGGTGGAGACTCATGCTGCTGCTGCTGCTGCTCTACTTCAGCTGCTCCCCCTTCCTCAGTCACCCCAGACATCTCCTCCTCTGACACTGCAACCTCCACCTGTCTTGAAGGCTGCTGCACCTCATCTGCCTCCACAATGAGCGGTGTAGATGGAAGCTTCTGTTGCTGCTGCTTCCATTCCTTGTAGTACAGGGACTCAAGAAACTTCACATCCCTTGACACTGTCAGCTTCTGGGTGGTCAAGTCCCATAGCAGCCATCCCTTGTGATCCTTTGCAATCCCCAAGTGCACACCCCATCTTCCAGAAGCCTCCAACTTCCCTCTTTTCTCCTTAGGCACATGAAACACTACCATGCACCCAAATGCCCTCAGCATGTTCACAGCTGGAGCACTCCCATACCACTTGATATATGGGATCCACTCCTTATCTCCAACTGTAGCCAGCACCCTGTTCTTCACAAGGGCGACCTGCCTCAGTGCAGACACCCAAAACGGATCAGGTAGCCCTGCACGCCCAAGGAGAGTGCGTGCCCCCTCCTGCAGGGTCCTGTTGAACCTCTCAGCCACGCCATTCTGCTGCGGATTGTAGGGCACTGTCAGTTGATGCTGGATCCCCTTCCTCTTCAACTCCCCCTCAAAATCAGCTCCAATGAACTCCCCACCATTGTCACTGCGGATCACCTTCACCTTGTGTCCGCATTCCCTCTGAGCTCTAGGCATCCACTCCTTAAGGACAGCCGCTGCCACCTCCCCCTTGCTGTTCAAAGGGTAAACCCACACTGCCCGAGTGTGGTCATCCACAATTGTCAAGAAATAGCGGCTGCCTGAGAGGGAAGGGGCTCTTGTGGGCCCCACCACATCCATGTGCACAAGTGCAAGTGGGGTCTTGGCTGGTCCTGTTGCCTGTTGAAGGGGAACTTGGAGAACTTGGTCTCCAAGCATGTAGGGCAGCTCCCAATCTCCTTCACTTCCCCTTTCACCTCCAAGCCCTTCAGGCTCCCATTCTTCACCAACTTCTGCAGCATAGGGAAGTTCACATGACACACCTCTCATGCCATGTCTCCCAATCGGCCTCTCCACTCCTTGATGAAGCCTTAGCCCATGCCGCACTCGCATCCACACCAGCAAGCACCTCACCATGTGTCTGCTGCTTCTGCACTTTCTTGACTGCTTCCAGGACCCCATCAGTTGGTGCAGTTGCATCTCCTCCTGCTGTTGCCTTTGCCGCTGCTGCCGTTGCTGCTGTTGGAGTCTTCCCATTCCAAGGGATGATGGGCAGCTGCCACAGGTCCTTGATGCAGCTGGTCTCCTCTTCCAGACTCCACAGCACCTTCTTCCCAAGCTTAGCACGGCAGCTGGTTGGTCCAAAGGTCACTTCGGCCTTACTCTTCTGCAGTCGCCGCACAGAGAGAAGGTTAGCAGACAAGCCTTTAACCAGCAGAACATTCCCAAGCCCCACAAGCTCCCCATTAGCTCCCTTAACCTTGGCATTCCCAACACCAATAACGGGGAGCAAAGCACCTGACGCTGCTGCCACATACTTGATCTTCCCAGGGGGTTTTACCTCATCAAGCAAATCTGCCCGTGGGGTCATGTGACTGGTGCAACCCGAATCAATCACCCAGTGCGTGAGAGGGTGCATCACAACCTTTCCGACAGATCCCACATCACCCTCATGCCCATGCACATCCTCAACCATGAGATACATCCCAGGATAGGCGTTACCTTGTGCACCTTCATCTTGCACAGCGCCACCTTGTGCGCGTTCACCACTTGGCGGCTTCATGCCTGGAGGTGCCCATCCCTCCGGCCTGCTGAAGCACTTGAACCAAGGATGCCCGACCTTCTTGCAGTACCAGCAGGTGCCCTCCATTCTGGTACTCCCCCTGCCACTGGAGCTCCCATGCCCCTCATTATAGTCACCTCGGCCTCTACCTCTGCCAAAGCTCCTCCCACGGCCTCGGCCTCTCCAACCCCCTCTTCCTCTGCCGCGCCCTGCAGCTCCATACCCCTCAGCAGTCTTAGTGGCAGCACCGCCTCCCACATGGCGTCTGCGGAAGTCCTCCTGCAGAATCTGCTGCCTTAGCCACTCAGGTGTCCATTGATCTTGCTGAGAGTTGAGGGTGGGGATGAGGTTGTCCCAAGAGTTGTCCAACACCGAGATGATCTTGGTGCACTGCTGCAGCTGAGATACACTGCTGCCCGCTGCTGCCATCCTTGCATAGGTGTCCTTGATCTTGTCAAGGACCGGCTTCACATCGTCCCCTGGTCGCATGGAGATGGCAGCAAGTTCCTTCTCGAGCACGATCACCATCAGGAGAGTGTTGGGCTGAATCACATCGCGTAGTAGTTTCCACGCCCTTGGACCCGAATCATCCGCTTCCACAAGATCCTTGATGTGCTCGAACATCTCCTTGTTGACCGATTGAAGGATGAGGTCGAAAAGCACCGTGCTTTTCTCAATCCACCGTTCACGTGCTTCGCCTTCTTCCGGCATCTTCTCTTCCCCAACAGCAATCTTCAGTAGCTTGTAGCGTTTGAAGGCACTCCTCATCCGTCCGCTCCATTCCTCATAGTTGGAGCCATCCAAAGCTTCAACTTTTGATGGCGGCGGCTCACTTGTCTTCTCAGGTACAGCTCCTCTTCCATTAGCATCTCCTCCTCTCTCATTCATCTTCTCCTTGAGAAATGACGAATTTCAGCTCCCCTTTGCTGTCCACACTCAGCTCCCTCGATATTTTCACAAGTGTCGGCGTCCACGAAATTTCGGCAGAGTTTCCCCTTAGCGGAAGACACATCCAACCTTTAGAACACCACTTAGGCACACCCACAGGCCATGGTGGGTCTAGAAGGGTCTTCACACTTCTGTAGACTCCTCTCAATGTCCTTAATATCGCTCTGATACCACTTGTTAGGATTAAGGACAGAGTCTAGGTGAACTTAGGAGCTAGAATTACTCAAAATATAAATCCGAAATTCTGGACAGAAAAGTCGTCTTCACAAGAAACGACGTCGACAAAACACTAGCCGTTGGAATGTCGCGAAACTTGGATATGTTGTAGCTCTTGATCTCAGCTACCGTTCCCAATTTGAATCACGTTGATTGATGAAGTATTCGCGACGCTATGGCTTTCGACGCACTAGGGGGTAAGCTGTAGGAGGAGAACTTAACTCAATCTCAAGAGTTCAATCAAAGTTCAAGAATCTCACAAGGAATTAGAAGGAGCAAGAGAAAGGTTGGGATAGGAAGAGAGGGATGAGAGGGAAGGTCCCAAGAGAGTCCCCAACCAAGGAAACCCCATAAGCACAAAGATTCCCTCCCTATAGGAACCCCAACTTTGACATTTGTCCCTTCCCAACCAATCCATCCAAGTTGGCCACCCTTGCCAACCTAGCTTGGTTGTTCCCAACCAATTTGCAGCTGTTACAGTAGAGTGACAAGTTTCCCCAACCCCAAAGGTCCCAACTCCATATAAAGTCACCCCACAACTTCACTTAGTAACCGCCGCAATTGTAACGCAAGCTCATGAACTTTGAATCTTCATAGCTTTCGCGTTCTTGCTCCGATTGAAGCGATTCTTGTTGCGTCGGAAAGATCTTCTCAAGATCTATTATCACAAATACCTGCTCAGACAGAATAACACAAAACACATTCCCAAACTCCAGAACACACCACACACAAATGCTTGCACATTCAAACCACACATGCAAGTTGAAAAAACATGGGATGGGAGGCAGACAGAATGTGATAGCATATGATGACATCACACAACAACACGCTGCGTATCCAGGCGCGTCTCATACCTGACCCGCACCACCCCCCTGGATTTCCTGCCACTGGAGGCTTGGTCCGAGTGGGGAAGGGAGCTATTTCACACCCTACTACGTCCCTGCAACCTCCAGCCACCACGGGGCAAGTCAGAGCGGGCGCGTACCTGGGCTCAAGCATCCCTCCCTCCCTCTCTCGGGGGGCTGGGCCTCACCGATCCAGCGATTGAAGGGCATCCGACTTTTCTCACCAGTGTCACCCAAGCTCAGGGCCTCCTAGCTGCCCTCCCAGCAGCGACCAGAGGACCTCTGGCCGACGCGGTGCGCCACCTCACACCACCCTTTGCCAGCCCCACCCACATGCATACCTGGCTGGCGAGGTGTGAATCCGCGCTGCCTCTGCGGGCCCTGGAGCTTCTCCAATCCAAGCGAGGTGAACCCTCGGGCTCCCCTCTCCAACACCGCATGTCCCTCGAGGTTCAGGCCGTGCGATACGCCGACCAAGTGACAGCTTCATGGGCAATGGATCCAAACCCGTACTCTGGCCACACACAACGCCTCTTCTCCCTGGCCAGATATGGGGCAGGGGACTGGATTCATGCCATTCCCATCTTCCCTTCCCTCCGTCTCGAAGCCCCACATTTTGCCATCGCCCTGGCTTTCCGCCTTGGCCTGCCGTTCCCAGCCCCCCACAACTGCACCTGTGCCGAGGAATTCGAAATCCTCGACACACGGCTGCCCAATCACCTCCTTCGGTGCAGCACCGGGCACGGGCGGGCGGACACCCACGATGCCCTGCGGGATGAAAGCATCCGGATGGCCCGGGATGCTGACTTCATTGTCACCAAAGAGACAACCATCTACAGCCCGGTAGACGGCCACAAAGCCGACCTCGCAATCCACGACCGCAGCTCCGGCGCCGTCTGGATCTGCGACGTCACCGTCACAGACCCCATCAGCAGCCGGGACCCGGATGCACGGAAGGGGTGGGGGTACATGGCCCGTGAGCAAGCTGACAAGAAAATCTGCCACTACCGCAATTGGGCCCCCTACGTTGGTTTCTTCCCACTGGCGGTCGAGACTTATGGCTGCCCCTGCGCCGAAGTCCCTACCTTCCTGAAACTGCTTGCGGACACAGGGGCCAGGAGGCTTTTCAACGCGGACCCGAGTTCCTACCAAGCGGCGAAACTACTTCATCAGTTCCGCCAGCGTTGGTCAGTAACGCTCCAATGGGCGCAGGCCTTGGCTTACCTAGGCAAAGTTAACGAAGCCTCCCCTGCCCCCCACACCCCCGTGGATACCCCCGGCGCCGACATGGCCCTGGGGGACTGCTTTGCCATGGCAGAGCCCCTCGGGGAACTCGAGTAGGCCAGCGCCCCTCAACTTGCACATACCTTGTCTTGCTGTCATCCGCTTGCCTAGTTTGTACCCAGAGTTCGAGCAATAAACGGACCGCTTGAGAGAGAAAGAGGGACCGATGCCTTGCTTGCCAACCGATGCCTAGTTGTACCTAGGTTCCAGAAATACACGGACTGCTTGAGAAAGAGGGAGAGAGGGAAAATCCCCCTCCCTACCATCCAGACCCCTGCTTCTCCCCCCCTTCCAAGCCCCCCTCCCCGCTGCCATGCCCCTCCTTCCCCCTCTCCCATAGCCCTGCTCCCCCCCCTTCCATTGCCCTGCTTCCCACCCTTCCATTGCGCTCCGTCCTCCCCATTCCATAGCCCAGATTCCCCCCCTTCCATTGCCCTGCTTCCCCCCCTTCCGTTGCTCTGCTTCCCCCCTCCCATAGCCCTCTTGCCAGCCCCAAAGAGAGCGTGGATCTTCCCTAACCAGGGAGAGGGCACGGGAGAGGGGAGAACAGGAGAGGGGAACATGGGAGAGGGGAGAACGGGAGAGGGGAACATGGGAGAGGGGAGAATGGGAAAGGTGAGCGTTGGGGAGCGGGAGCATGGGAGAGGGGACCATGGGAGAGGGAAGCATGGGAGAGAGGACCACGGGAGAGGGGAGCATGGGAGAGAGGCGGACAGGGCAAGCGCATGGAAGGGAGGGGTACTAGGTGATGTGACATGACGAGTTAGGGAGGGATTGGCGCTGCGATAGGGCGGGATTTTTGGTATGACAGGATGCGGGTGATAGGGGAGGCGATTATAGTATGCTGCAACGGGTATGGCGGGAAAGAGGGAATGCAGAAGGCGGGCATCGCTCTCGCAGTGTTAGCTGCGCGAAGCAGGTGTGGGAAGCGAGATGCGCACTAAATGCAACGGGCAGCAAGTGAGGTGCTTGGCGCGCTGGCGAGGAGAAACCTTTGACCTCGCTCTTCAGGTCTTCACGTAGCGCGCCCTAGACTGCTTGTGTTGCGTGCTGGTGAGGGACTAGCATGTGGCGCGGGGGCGTGATTTGGTGCGAAATAGCTGTTAGTGTTACGGGAATGCAGTTTCGCTACTACTAAGCCACATTTTCCCACCTGGGGTGGAGGTAAGCACTGTGTTCGCGAGCGAGAATGGCGGGGAAGGAGCCATGTCCATTGAGTACAGAGTAAAAAGCAAAAGCTTTGGATCTTGGTGTGGTGGGGGAAAGGCTCTGCTTGTTCCGTCATTGGTTTGGTTCCGTCGTCACACAGCCCTTCAGAAACCCCCCAACTCACAATCGCACCCCTCGGGTGTGTATTTGGTTACTGTGTTTCTGTCGCGTATGTTTTCGTGCATAGTACAACTCAAAACCTTTGAGTCTTGAGTTAGGTCTGTCTTGAGTTAGAGTGTATTCTGCACTCCGGAACATGTCCCTATTCGTCATCGCTGACCATCGATTCGCACGGAGCCTAGTTTTTTTTCTTCGCATCAGGTGTCAGTAATCCATTCCTCGCATCAGAATTAACCCTGGCAGAATCTGGTTGGTATAAGATGGTCGTGCGTGAGCTACTCACTTCTTGTGGAAAACTAGAAATCAGATGCCTTAAGTTCATCTGGTTTACGCAAACCTTGTGCAGGATCTCGCATGCGACTGCTCACGAATCAAATTACATGCCTCCCTTCAGATTACATGCCTCCCTTCAGATTACATGCCTCCCTTTAGATTACATGCCTCCCTTCAGAGTACATGCCTCCCTTCATATTACATGCCTCTCCTTCCTTTCCTCACACTCTGTCCTGCCGTCCCTCCCTCTCCTTGTCTCTTCTCCCCTGCTTCTGTTTTTTAGGTGCCTCAAAAATAGACTCTACGCACTCTGTCGTGTCGTCCCTCCCTCTCCTTGCCTGTTCTCCCCTAACTCGTCTTGAGTTAGGTCTGTCTTGAGTTAGAGTGTATTCTGCACTCGTCATGTCACATCACCCGAGCTAGGTGATGTGACATGACGAGTTAGGGAGGGATTGGCGCTGCGATAGGGCGGGGTTTTTGGTATGACATGATGCGGGTGATAGGGGAGGCGATTATAGTATGCTGCAACGGGTATGGCGGGAAAGAGGGAATGCAGAAGGCGGGCATCGCTCTCGCAGTGTTAGCTGCGCGAAGCAGGTGTGGGAAGCGAGATGTGCACTAAATGCAACGGGCAGCAAGTGAGGTGCTTGGCGCGCTGGCGAGGAGAAACCTTTGACCTCGCTCTTCAGGTCTTCGCGTAGCGCGCCCTAGACTGCTCCTTCCCAGGGTTGGGAATCGACACGGTGCAACTAGACGTGACGTCCACTGCGTCCATTCAGGAAGCTGTCAGCACAATCGTATCCAAGGTGAGTATGAATCGAGACTGTGCGGCTTGATACAACGTCCCCACTGCTTCCATTCCGGAAGCTGATAACACAAGGTGACGTTTGAATCGAGACAGTGCAGCTATATGGGACGTCCACTGCGTCCATTCAGGAAGCCATCAGCACAACCATATCCAAGGTGACGTTTGAACTCCAAGGGGCCAGGTTGATACAGTATCAGCTGCCTCCATTTAGATTGAGACGGTGCAGCAGCTAGATGTGACGTCCACTGCATCCATTCAGGAAGCCGTCAGCACAGTCATATCCAAGGCGTTTGTTTGTTTGTTTGTTTGTTTTTTTTTTTTTTTTTACATTTTGAATTACATCACATGTGTGTTTTGAGCGATTTGTTAACAGGAAAATATTTTCTCATTGTGCAAGCTATTCCTCTCCTAGTCTTTGAATCCATCGAGGTCCCCAAGGAGAATTGTGCTTCTCTCTCTCTCCTTTCCGTCTCTCCCTCCCGTACTTTTCCTGCCTGCCCAGGCGGGCAGGATAGATAGTCTGGTGAACAACAAAGGCGCGGGGTGCTTTGGTCCCATGGCGGAGATGCCTCTGGACGCGCTTGAGGCGGCTCAAGAGCAAAAAGACGGTTCTATCTACCTGTCCCCTTGCTCATGTGTGCAGGCTGGCAGGATAGACATTCTGGTGAACAACGCAGGTGCGGGGTGCTTTGACCCCATGGCGGAGATGCCTCTGGATGCGTTTCGAGGAAAAATGGAGACCAACGTTGCTGGGTTGTTAGCTGCTACACAAGTGGTGGTTCCCCACATGGTGGAGCAGGTGAGGCGATGGCTCAACTTACAGTACAGATGCCTCTTCGTCGTGCCTCTGGATGAATTCCGAAGCAGCATGGAGACCAAGGTTGTTGGGGTGCTAGCTGTTACGCAAGCGGTGGTCCCCCGCATGGTGGAGCAGGTGAGGCGATGGAGAGCTCCCACAATGACATGACAGTGAAGGCGGGCCGCTTTGGCCCCATGGATGCATTCCGAAACAGCATGGAGACGAATGTCCTTGGATTGCAACCTGTTACCCAAACTGTGGTTCCTCACATGGTGTAGTAGATGAGACTACAACGTCAGACCAGAGATGCCTCTTTATTAGGTGTAGCAGGGAGATGACAGGGAGATGACAGGGAGATGGCAGGGAGATGAGAGGGAGATGAGAGGGAGATGGCGTGGAGATGACAGGGAGATGACAGGGAGATGACAGGGAGATGACAGGGAGATGACAGGGAGATGACAGAGAGATGACAGGGAGATGACAGGGAGTTCACAGGGAGATGACAGGGAGATGACAGGGAGATGATAGGGAGATGACATGGAGTTGACAGGGAGATGACAGGGAGATGGCAGGGAGATGACAGGGAGATGACAGGGAGATGACATGGAGATGACAGGGAGATGACAGGGAGATGACAGGGAGATGACAGGGAGATGACGGGAGATGACGGGGAGATGACAGGGAGATGACAGGGTGATGACAGGGAGATGACAGGGAGATGAGAGGGAGATGAGGGGGAGATGAGAGGGAGATGAGAGGGAGATGAGAGGGAGATGAGAGGGAGATTAGAGGGAGATTAGAGGGAGATGGCGGGGAGATGGCAGGGAGATGGCAGGGAGATGGCAAGGAGATGACAGGGAGATGGCAGGGAGATGAGAGGGAGATGGCAGGGAGATGGCAGGGAGATGGTAGGGAGATGACAAGGAGATGACAGGGAGATGGCAGGGAGACGGCAGGGAGGTGAGAGGGAGATGAGAGGGAGATGAGAGGGAGATGCTAGAGAGATGGCAGGGAGATGGCAGGGAGATGACAGGGAGATGACAGGGAGATGACAGGGAGATGACAGGGAGATGACAGGGAGATGACAGGGAGATGACAGGGAGATGGCAGGGAGATGACAGGGAGATGACAGGGAGATGGCAGGGAGATGGCAGGGAGATGACAGGGAGATGACAGGGAGATGACAGGGAGATGACAGGGAGATGACAGGGAGATGGCAGGGAGATGAGAGGGAGATGAGAGGGAGATGAGAGGGAGATGGTTGGGAGATGACAGGGAGGTGACAGGGAGACGGCAGGGAGATGACAGGGAGATGACAGGGAGATGACAGGGAGATGATAGGGAGATGACAGGGAGATGACAGGGAGATGACAGGGAGATGACAAGGAGATGACAGGGAGATGACAGGGAGTTCACAGGGAGATGACAGGGAGATGACAGGGAGATAACAGGGAGATGACAGAGAGATGACAGGGAGATGACAGGGAGATGACAGGGAGATGACAGGGAGATGAAAGGGAGATGACAGGGAGATGACAGGGAGATGACAGGGAGATGACAGGGAGATGACAGGCAGATGACAGGGAGATGAAAGGGAGATGATAGGTACGACGAGTACAGGGCAGGCTGCGTTCGTCCCATCCCATGGCAGAGATGCCTCTGAAGTCCCGTTCCATCTCGGATCGAGGTCTCGTGCATCTTTGATCTCCAATACCTTCCACGTGCCACGTTCCTCCCATACTTCCCCCCCATCTCCTATCCCCAGCGTAGCGGCGTCATCAAGGTGGTGTACATAGGGTCGGTGTCAGCGTGGATCACCACCCTCTTCGCTGGCTCCTACTGAGCGGCCAAGGTAGCGGTGAACAGCACGTCCCCCCTCCCTCCCATGCTCCCTCCCTCCATTTCATATGTCCAGGGTACTGGCAAGATTGTCAACATAGGGTCGGTGTCAGCGTGGATCACCACCCCCTTTGCTGGCACCTACTGCGCGGCCAAGGCAGCGGTGCACAACATCTCCCATGCGCTCAGGATGGAGCTGAAGCCGTTTGGAATCCAAGTCATGCTCGTTGCCCCAGGGGCGATCAGGTACGAAACAGTTGTGGTGATGCCTCGTAAGGGGGCACCTGCTGTGCGGCCAAGGCCGCAGTGCACAGCATCGCGCAACGCGCTCAGGATGGAGCTGAAGCCGTTCGTTATCCAAGTCATGCTCGTGGCTCCAGGGGCTATCAGGTATGGTGACGTAAATAGAGGCTGTTATTGAGATGTCTTGAATGGACTACCCTTGGCAGCAGTGCACAGCTTCCCTCATGCCCTGAGGATAGAGCTGAAGGGAGCACCACTTGGTGGTGGTTTTGGCCATATGTGGCAGCAGGCTTGGTAGAAGACTGTTTTTTTAGAGATAAATAATATTGCATAGAAAAGAAATCTTGTGCACAGCATCACTCATGCCCTGAGGATGGAGCTGAAGCCCTTTGGTATCCAAGTCATGCCCGTTGCTCTGGGCGCCATCAGGTAAGACTGGCTTGGGAGATTTGTTGTAAAACCCCGCGTCATGATCGTTGCTCCCAGTGTGATCAGGTATATGAGTGACAGTCGACAGCATTGGGAGCAACGGGTATGTAACCCCCCTCAAATCACGCCCTACCTGCAGCTCCAGATCTTCTCCACGCTTTTCGACGCAGTTTTTAGCTATTTGACCATCGTACTGTCCCACTTGCCACCCTCCACCCATCCCCTCCCCCACATTCCAGGTCCAACTTCGGTGGTAAATCCTCATCTTCTGTCTCCCAAATGCAGCTCAACTACCATCTGTCGCTCCCAGAAGCAAATAGAGGCCGCCCAATAGCCCCTAACCCCCCACCACCCGTCCCATCGCATCCCAGGTCAAACTTTGGTGGTAACTCCTCATCCTCAGTCTCGCATTTGTATCTGAAGATCCTCTCTCGCTTCCAGAAGCGAAGAGAGGCCACTCATCAGCTCCATCCCCCCCCTACCACCCTTCCCCCCACTGCCCTCACATACCATACCAGATCCAACTTTGGAGGTAACTCCTCCTAATGAGTCTCCCACCTGCAGCTGAAGATCTTATCTCGCTTCCAAAAGCAGATAGAGGCCGCTCAATATCCCCCTACCCCCTCTACCACCCGTCCCACTCCTCCCCAGGTCCAACTTTGGCGGTAACTCATCCTCGTCAGTCTCCCACCTGCAGCTGAAGATCTGTTGAAAGCCCTACTGCAGCTGCGGGCAGCCAGGCGTTGACCGACTTATGTCGGTGCACCGATTGCCTGGCAGCTGCGGGCTGGCGTGACCAAGGTGCACGGACTAACCGTTGCGTCCGACGACTATGTCTAGTTTGTGTGGACTAGTCCGGAGATGCTCACGACGACCAGTGACTCTGACGATTCATACGTAGTCGTGGCGATCGTGAGGAGCAAGGCAGCGTTTTGCCTTGCTGGTTGGAGTTGCGTACACGGCAAACCCAACCTTGCTGAGTTGGGTTGGAGAATTGGGCGAGGCGCGTTTGCCCAACCCTTCGGCGAATTTGGGGTGGTAGGTTACACCCGCAGCGCCACGCAACTTTGGTTGGGTTTGCACTTGCCTATATATTTGCATGCTTATTTGTACTTTGGATATATATGTTTCTAGTGAACTTCTACTCTACTCGAATTTTGACCAAGTACTTTAAGGCAAACTCTGCCCAACTGCCACCAGTGCCTAGCACGCTATTCGAATAGTGTTACTCTGCCGGAATCGCTCCACACTTTCCCAGTGCTCTCGCTTTAGCATTCCTTCATGGTGTGGTGTGGAACGAACATGCGCGCGTTATCAATTTTCACCGTCATCGATCTACTACGTTCGTTCGTTCGTCTTGGAGGCTGCAGCTATAGCAGAGGGCTATCATTGGTGTAAGTTGCGATTTATTTAATTTCCCTCCAGTTACGTTCTCGGACCCAAGGATAGGGCTTTTGGTATTTACTTACCATTCGCCTGAGGACCCTTGTGAGGTGACCCCGAGACGAGGGACTTAAGTAAATAGCAGTTTATACTAGCTGATAGTTGGTCTGTAGAAAGGTCGCAGTAATGGCGAACGCGGAGGAGGCGAATGTTGACGTCACTGAACTGCACGAGCTAGAGGAGATTCTGCACACGCGTCGTTCTCGCGGAGAGATTAATGACGAGGATTATGAGCTAATGCTGGAAGGGATTCGAGCGAGGGTGGCGACGTGACCACCCTTCTCTTCCGGTAGCGGAGAACGCGTAGTCTAGAATTCCGCAAGGTGCGTCAGTGACGGCTAGCGACGATGAAGATAGAGCTAGTGTGGCGAGCGAGCGGCGTTTCGCTCGTGGCGTTCTCAGAGGAAATGTACACGGTAGCACTGCTAGTATGGGTGGCGTTCAGGAGCGTGTGCATCAAGCGGCAGCATCGCGCGAGCGCGACGAGATAGGGCGGCGAAGCGTTGTTGGAGAAGGACATGTAGAGGAGCGCAATAGTGACGTTATGCCCGGCATTATACCGCAAAGCTCTGCGGTAAGAGACGTCGGGATAGCACTTGACTATGGCTACTTTAAATTCACTCCAGACAAGATCGCCGTGCCTAGGCCGTTAGAAGGGCGTCACGACCTGTCATCCTGGGTAGAATCGATTGAGCCCCAGCTCGAGATAGCTCAGCTCAAACGCTTTATCGACGGCTCCACCCCTACTCCTCCGAAGCACGGAGTAGCACTTCTCTCGCAATTCCGAGCTGCTCAGTTACTGACGTTTACGACCATTTCTCGTTGTTGCTCCCCCCAAGTGCAAGTCGCCCTTAAAGCATGTCGCTTGAAGGTAGATGCCGGGTTGCAAGCCTGGCAGTTCATCATGCGAACGTACATGGCGAAGGACAATTTGTATCTAGGTCAGTTAGAGCAAGCGCTCACTAACCTCGAGATGGGCGAGCACGAGTCCGCCACGTCTTACTGCAACCGTGCACAGCAGCTTTTCGTAAATCTCAGAATGGCCGGCATAGACTACTCGCAGGCGTCGTACATTACCCACGTCGTAAAGGGGTTACCGCAGCAGTATAATCTCTTACGTCGTATGTTGAAGCTGCCGCAGGTGCGCGGCGAGTTAGACGACGACACCCTCGCTAGTTATATCATAGAAGAGGAATGTACCTTGGCGGCAGAAGGGCGAAAGGACTTCTTCCCTCCCCACGCAAACCTGACCTTCCCAAAGAGGTTTGGCAAGCCATCAGTCCTCCCAAAGCAAGATACGCTTCCTGCCCCTTCCCCATCCATTCCTGGGCAACAGCCATCGGCGAAGCAGTCAAGCGGGGGTGGAGAAGGAGAGGGGATGGGAAAAGGGGCGAAGGGGGAAGTGCAGAAAGAGGGGAGAAAGCCTTTCAAGGGGAAATGCTATTCGTGTGGCCAGCCAGGGCATGTCGCTTTCCATTGCCCAGAGCGCAAGGACAAGGTAGCGCAGAAGGGGCAAGGGAGTGGGGGTGGCGGCAACTGCAAGGAGGGCAGCAGTTCGGGGGCGGAAGGCAGTCCACCTGCGCGATGGTGGAACCAATCCTAGCGCAGCAGTCTTCGATCTTATTGGAACCGAAGGCCGGGGAAGGCTTGCAGGCTGTTGCAGCTGCTGTGAAAGCCAACCCGAGTGTTGTGCTTTTGGACAGTGGATGTTCCCACCACTTGATGGGAGATCGGGCGGCGTTTGTGGAGCTGATTAATGATAGTTCCATTAATGATCACCCCCTCTACCACCCGTCCCACTCCTCCCCATGTCCAACTTTGGCGGTAACTCATCCTCGTCAGTCTCCCACCTGCAGCTGAAGATCTGTTGAAAGCCCTACTGCAGCTGCGGGCAGCCAGGCGTTGACCGACTTATGTCGGTGCACCGATTGCCTGGCAGCTGCGGGCTGGCGTGACCAAGGTGCACGGACTAACCGTTGCGTCCGACGACTATGTCTAGTTTGTGTGGACTAGTCCGGAGATGCTCACAACGACCAGTGACTCTGACGAGTCATACGTAGTCGTGGCGATCGTGAGGAGCAAGGCAGCGTTTTGCCTTGCTGGTTGGAGTTGCGTACACGGCAAACCCAACCTTGCTGAGTTGGGTTGGAGAATTGGGCGAGGCGCGTTTGCCCAACACTTCGGCGAATTTTGGTGTGGTTGGTTACACCCGCAGCGCCACGCAACTTTGGTTGGGTTTGCACTTGCCTATATATTTGCATGCTTATTTGTACTTTGGATATATATGTTTCTAGTGAACTTCTACTCTAATCGAATTTTGACCAAGTACTTTAAGGCAAACTCTGCCCAACTGCCACCAGTGCCTAGCACGCTATTCGAATAGTGTTACTCTGCCGGAATCGCTCCACACTTTCCCAGCGCTCTCGCTTTAGCATTCCTTCAAGATCTTCTCTCGATTCCAGAAGCAGATAGAGGCCAGAGCAGGCGCCTCCTAGACCCCTCAGTCCACACCAGGAGACGTGTTCGCAGGGCGTTGGTGGAGGTGAGTCTCTCTTGGGACATGTGTGGGTTCACAACAGTGAGTGGGGAGATGTCTGCATGCACAGCAGAGAGTGGCCAGAGCAGGCGCCTCTCAGATGCCTCAGTCCACACCAGGAGACGTGTTCGCAAGGACGTTGGTGGAGGTGAGTCTCTTAAGAAATGTGTGGGTGCACAGCAAAGGGTGAGGAGATGTGTGCGTTCTGCTAATGGGTGAGCAGATAGTGGCCAGGGCGGGCGCCTCTCACACCCTCAGTTCACACCGGAAAACGTGCTCGTGAGGGCGTAAGTGGAGGTGCGTTGGTGAGGAAATGAGTGGGTTCGGACACATGTGTGTATGCCTCGATGTGCATGTGCACACTAGTTAGAGGCCAGTGCAGGCGCATCACAAATACCACAGTCCACACCAGGAGACGTATTCACTTGGGCTCTAGTGGGGGTGAGATGATGTGGGGAAGGAGAGGGTTCGTATAGGGTGGGCGTTTGGGCACGTGGTGGTGGGGTCATTCCGTGTTATGGCATGGTGGCCTTATAGCCACCCACACTTAACTTGTTTCCCTCCTCTTTGTATCATCCTTCCCTCCTTCCCCCTCCCCACATTCCAAAAAGCCTTGGCCAAGAGGGTGCCTATAGAGTGGGCGTTTGGGTGCCTGGTGAGGTCATTCCGCATCATGTGATGGCTGCCCTACAGCTTCAGAGACTCCTTGTACTTGTCCTCTCACTCTTCCCCACCCCCACCCCTCCACCCTCCAGAAAGCCTTGGCCAAGAGGGTGCCTATTGAATGGCGTTTGGGCACCTGGTGGGCTCATTCCGCATCATGACATGGCTGCCCTACAGCTTCAGGGACTCGGCGCTAATGAAGAAATTTGGACTTCCTAAATAGGGCTCACTTGTCTCAACTGCTGGGGTCATTCCGCATCATGAAATGGTGTCTACAGCTTCAGAGACTCGGCACTTATGAAGAAGTTTGACTCACGAAGTAGTAAATACCCTGTGAACAGTAAACCACCCCGTAACATGTAGAATGCAGACGGGTCATTCGGCGTTATGATTGGCTGCTTCACAGTTTCAGAGGCACTGTCTTGATGATGACGTTTTGAAGAATGAGGCAGCCACCTTTGACATTGAGGGTGTATTCCTACTGAACAGATATCAGGAACTGCCTAAACAAAGCCGAGTCTGATACCTGTATCCCACAAAAACACCGATATCAGGAATTGGCGAGTGTCAAAGTAAGAACTGAATGAATTGAACTAGAGGGAGAAACCTAGAACAAATACTAGTTGGTTGTACTCACTAGAAGCATACCCCAGTCTAGCCTATAACTTCTACATAGCTAATATGTATAAGTTAACACACCCTCTAGGCTAGACAAGGGGTGAAGCTAAGCAAGAAGCAAACAGCTCAGGGTGGCACTACTAGTCCAACCACTGAGGCAGGGGTCTGGAGACCAGTCAGCAAGAGTACAAACAAGACTAAAGCAAGCAGGGCGGCACTACTAGTCCGACCACTGGAGGTGAGGCACAAGGCCAGTCTAACAGGTATATATAATAGAGAGTACACAATCAGGATCCTAACAGGTGAGTAGCTACAGGAACAAGACCAAGTTGTACACAGTGCCGTGATGATCTTTAGGCGCAAGCGCCTTAGTAAAGATATCAGCTGTGTTGGCACCTGAGGCCAAGTGACTACGCGGGCCTGGCGGCGCTGCTGTAGCTCGCGCAGGAGGAAGTACCGCAGCTAGATATGCTTCGCTCTGCCCTCAAGCCGAGGCTCCGACACAGGAGTATCATGGCCCTGTTGTCAGCGTACAGGACCGGGGCAGAGCTGGGCCGCTCACCTAAGTCTGTGAGCAAGAAGGTCAGCCAGCGGAGCTCCTGTGCCGCCATGGCACCAGCGTAGATCTCAGCCTTACAACTGGACTGAGCCACAGACGACGAGCGAGTGGATCTCCAAGAGATAGCACCCGAACCAAGGCTAAAACAGTAGCCTGCGACGACCTGAGCGTCTCAGAGTCATCTGCCAAGAAGCGTCTGTGTGAGAGTACGACCCCGTTACACCACTGTGCCCTTTTTATTTCTTCCCTTTTCATTCCTCTTTTTACCGCATCTCATTTGGGTTTCCTATTCTTCCTTTCCATTAACCTTTGGTTTATCCTGCTATTATAATTATATCACCGACCAGGCTTGGGATGTACTGGTGCGCTATATCTAGCGTATCCTGCCGTAATCCCTTAAGCCAATAGCCTCGGTGGCTATACGCAGGGTGATTCTATTTCTAGAAGGGTCTATTCCCTTAGGATAAGATAAACCTGGTTACCTGATGTACTTTGGAAGTATAAAAGCGCTTGTACTGATCGATAGTGCAACCTTTCCTCGACACTTCGATCCTGTAACACTTGGTAATCAGAGCTTTTCTCACTCGGCCGCGTCAGCTAAGCAGCGCAGCGGGGATCCGGCCTCGAAAAACCGTCGGGGCGACCAATTCGACGCCGATTCTGGTAAGCACCAGCTCCGCGATTTTCAAATTACCCCCTCCGTGCGTGTTTGAACAGGATGGCAACCTTCGACAACGCCGAGGTTACCAGCAGCTCTTCGCGCGCATCGCAGCCTTCAGGAGGAAATGCGAGCGGATCGCGAAGCGTGGCGAAACCAGTTCGAGCGAGTAACTCGACTCGCCGGAGCGCAGCACGAGACGACAACGGCGACGACGCAGCAGTCGCAGCAGTTTCTCGAGGCTCCGAAACCGCGCCCACCTGAGCCGTTCGATCCGAGCGATCGAAACTCCGATGCCCGCAGATGGATCGCCGGGATGGAGATCTACTTTGCAGCCGTCGGATGGAGCTCGCCAGTCTGGGACGGTCACGCGTACGACTCGCGGCGACACTGATGCGAGGGCCGGCACTCGAGTGGATTGGCGGCAACAGTACTTTCATCCACGGTGAAGCCACGTGGCAGCAGTTCCGCGCCGACTGCTGAAACGCTTCGAACCGATAAATTCAGTTTCCTTGCCCGGGAAAAAAATTCATCGTCATCGACAGTTCGGGAGTGTAGCGAGTACACGCAGCAGATGGAGGAATTTTATAACCGCATTCCCGACCTGACCGAAGGGGAAAAGTACAATCGTACCTCGCCGGGCTGAAGACCGAAGTCAAACGACAAGTCGCAGCGTCAAACTACGCGAGCTACAGTGACGTCGTTTCGGCAGCGGAGCGCTTCGACATGGTCAACGCGGAACACGACGGACGCACGTCGACAGTACGCGACAGGGGCGACCGCTCGGCTCACCCACGTTCGCGACCCGATGGAAGTCGACAGATTCGAGGGGCGGCCACGTCGAAAAAACCAACTACAGTGTGATTTTTGCGGGGTGCCGGGCCACCGAATCTTCGACTGCAACAAAATGAAGGCCGCACGCGCAGAGTATCGGGCACGCAACAGTGGCGGAAATCTTTCGGCCAATCAGAAGACAAAAAACGGGAGTGCCAGTGATTGCGGATCTAGCTGGCGAAAATAAAAAGATCCGAAAGCGGCCGCGGGATTCCGGAAAAATCAACTTCGACGAAGCTGATTCGACGCGAGAAGGAGGAAATGATGGGGAAAAATCTCCACCCCACGACCAGTCTTCGCCAGGGAAATCGCGAGGAAAATACGACTCCGCGAAAAAAGACTCTGCGAGACAGGGAACTCCTTGAAGACCCAAGAAATTATCAGAATTCGTTAAAGTTATCTTATAAAGATGCTTTAATGAAAACTTATGATATTCGAGGGGCTAGAGCTTGGAGAAATTTCGGGAGGGACTCCAAAAGAAGCAGACAGCTGTGGAGATTATACCGGTACCGGACAACCTGGGGACCAAATTAAGGAGTGTGGAAGAAGCCGACCTTTCCACGGAGTCAACGTCCTCTCCCGACACCAGCCCACAACGACTACCCGTTCCCAGGGAAGACGTCGGTGGAGCTGAAGCAACTCAAGAGGAAGCTGGGGGTCTACAAGAAGCTGCACCAACCCCGAACTCCTCCTACGGATGCATCCAGTTCTTCGGCATCAGTGACGCGCACAGTCGTCAGGAAACTCCGGGCCTGGAGAAGAGCCGTTCTCCAAGCAGCCCTCGGCCAGCTGCCAGCTCAGGGGTAGACAGCAACACAAAGGTGTGTACGGAATATTGGGATGTACCCTATGACCCAATCAATGAAACTATCTTTGGGTACTCCGAGCAACGACTGCCCCTCGTGCTCGAGGTCATCTGCAAAGGACGACGCCTCAAGCACTCGTGGACAGCGGAGCGTCACACACCGTCTGCGACAAGGCAATGATCGACCGACTTCGGGAAGAGTACAAGCCTTCAGGATTCTCTGCAACGATGGTGGACGGCAGCAAGTGACCAGTACACGGCGAAGCAGTGCTACACCTACAAATCGGACCACTGCGTGGAGACCTGCACTCCCCATCACCAACATCAAAGGGCTTGACTTGATCTTCGGGCGAGACTTCCTGAAAAGATTCAACCCGAGATCAACTGGGTAAACTGCACCGCAAGCATCTACAACAATGGACGGAGAGTACGGCTACCCAACTGGGACGATACTGGAGATATCCCAGTGGAGACACTCGCACGATTCGAGAAGGACGTGAAGCGGACCGATACCGGGTTCCTGGCGATAGCAACAGAGGTGGAGAAGGACGGAGAGAAAGCCTCGGAAACTCCAGAAAAAATCAAGGAATTACTGAAGGAGTTCCAAGACATTCTTCGGACGATCTTCCGAACGAGTTACCGCCATACCGAACGCATCAACACGAGATCGTGGAGGAACCGGGTTCGAAGCCGACCTTCCGAGCACCATATCGGCTCAGCCCTACGGAGCTGACTGACATGAAAAAACAGATCGAGTATCTCCTAACCAAAGGACTCATCCGGCCATCCACTTCGCCGTACGGTGCCCCAGTACTCTTCACACCGAAACCGGACGGAAGCCTGCGCATGTGCATCGACTACCGAGCCTTAACAAGCAGACCATCAAGAATAAATATCCGATACCGCGAATCGATGACCTGCTTGACCAGCTTCGGGGAGCTACGGTATTTTCCAAACTGGATGTGCGGTCCGGATACTGGCAGATACGGATGGCGGACAACTCTATCCACAAACTGCTTTCCGAACTCGGTACGGATCGTACGAGTATTTTGGTCATGCCGTTCGGACTCACCAACGCGCCGGCAACGTTCCAAGCCGAAATGAACCACATTCTACGACCACTTCTGGACGAATGCGTGGTAGTGTACCTGGACGACATACTCATTACTCGCGCGACATGAAGCAGCACGTCGAACACCTGCGACGCGTCTTCGAAATTCTTCGACGGGAACGATTCTACGTCAAACTGTCCAAGAGCGAATTCGCCCTTGAAAAGGTCCAGTTCTAGGGCACTTGGTGAGCGTCAAGGAGTTCACGTCGACCCCAAGAAAATCGAAGCCGTACGTACGTGGAAGACACCCGAGAACGTGAAGAGTTGCAGCAGTTCCTAGGCTTCGCTAATTACTACAACAGGTTCGTGCCACAATATGCGATCTTCGTGGGACGCCAGCCGCCGCCGCCGCCGCCCGTCCTCGTCCAGAACGAACCCGAGTACGAGGTCGAGTCCGTGCTTGCACATCGTCGTCGTCGGAATGGCACCGTGGAGCTTCTCATCCGTTGGAAGGGTTATGATCCTTCTGAGGACAGCTGGGTACCTGAGTCCGACATGGGTAACGCCCGTCGTCCTCTGCATGACTACCTTGTCAAGCAGGGTGTTACTTCTACCATCCAGCTTTGAGGGGGGAAGTGTGAGAGTACGACCCCGTTACACCACTGTGCCCTTTCTTATTTTTCCCTTTTCATTCCTCTTTTTACCGCATCTCATTTGGGTTTCCTATTCTTCCTTCCCCATTAACCTTTGGTTTATCCTGCTATTATAATTATATCACCGACCAGGCTTGGGATGTTACTGGTGCGCTATATCTAGCGTAATCCTGCCGTAATCCCTTAAAGCCAATAGCCTCGCGTGGCTATACGCAGGGGTGATTCTATTTCTAGAAGGGTCTATTCCCTTAGGATAAGATAAACCTGGTTACCTGATGTACTTTGGAAGTATAAAAGCGCCTTGTACTGATCGATAGTGCAACCTTTCCTCGACACATTCGATCCTGTAACAGTCTGTGTGCCCTGTACGGACAACTGGCCTGCGTCCTCCTAGCACTAACCCCATGCCCGATGTTCTAGCAAGATAACGCAAAACCCTCTTAGCGGCAGACCAGTGCTGAGGTCGGTGTCTGCCTGTAGCCACGAAGCGAGCGAGGATGCTGGGAGGGTATGCGAAATTTGGGCGAGTGCAAGTCATCAGGTACATGAGGCAACCCACCAGCTCTGCGTAGGGGCCACTGGGCTCTACTGGCTCCTCAGGAACAGGAGCGCAGAGCCCATGGTCTACAGGTAGAGGTGTGGGCTGTGCGGAGGAGAACTGAAGACCGAACCTCTAAAGGACCTGACGCACCAAGTGTGACTGTGTCAGAGTGATGGTGCGTGCTGCTCTGTCCCTAGAGATCTGCAGGCCAAGATAGCGACGCAGCTCTCCAAGGTCAGTGCAGGTGTGTCTCTTCAGCAGCTCAGCCTTCACAGAGGCCAGTGCGTCCCTGTCAGCAGTAGCAAAGACAAGGTCGTCTACGTAGACAAGGATGTAGAACGGAGTCTGGCCGGAACGCACAAACAGTGAAGGGTCAGCAGAGGACGGAAAGAAGTGCAGGTCTGCTAACGTGGCACGCAGCGTGTCGTGCCACTTGCGGGGAGCCTGACGCAGGCCGTAGACCCGGGCGCCTGAAAAGCCACTGGGTCCTAGGAGGGAAGGGTACCAGTGAAGCCCTGTGGTCGGCACAGGTAGACCTGCTCGAGTAGGCTGCCCTGAAGGAAAGGCAGTAGAGAAGTCGAGGGAGTGAAGCTCGTAGTCGCGCTGTGCTGCTACGTGTAGCAGCGCCCGAAGAGTGGTCATCTTCGGGGTCGGGGGCGAAGGTCTGGAAGAAGTCAACCCCCTCGCGTTGACTGAAACCTCTGGCCACGTAGCACGCCTTGAAGACAGGCGGCTCTCCAAGGGGGCGCTTCACCTTAAAGAGCCACCGACCATCGACTACGTTCACCCCAGGCGGGGGAACTGCGTCAACGTAAGTGCCGGTGGACCTCCAAGATGCCATCTCCTGCTCCATGGCAGCTATCCACTGAGAGGCCCAAGGTCCCGAGGTGGCCTCAGCGTAGGTGCGAGGGGTCGGGATGTCGAAGGCGTCTGGGTCACCCTCAGGGACTAACAGCATGGAGCAGAGATGGGGAGCAGCCTCGGAAAGGAAGCAAGCTCGTACTGCATGTCCTATAGGACGTCACTGCCAAGGGCAGGAGCACCCCCGACGGACGGAGGACGGGCAGGGTCAGAGACCAGAGCGATAGCGTAGTCAAGGCGGCGGGTAGAGGCGAAGTCAGCGACAGCAGTGTCCAGCGCGTCAAGGCGCGAGACAGGAACAGCAGGGTCGGTAACAAGAGAGGCAAAGACCCGAGGGACAAGGGGACGAGCGGCACGGAGGTAGTCAGAGAACGGAGGAGGTGCAACAGCAAGGGACGAGGGAGGAGGGGACAGGAGGAGGGGGGACGAGACGAGCGGGAACGGAGCAACATAGAATGGGAGCACAGGACAGGAGAGACGGGACGAACACGGGAGGGACGGCGCGACCAAACGTGGGATGGAGGTGTAGGGTCAGGGGACAACGGAGGGGACACAGGAGGGGAACGAGGAGGAAGACGGGCCGGAGACGAGTCCGGCGGCTGGGAGCACAGGACCGGGAGGGAAGGCCGAGCAGGCAGAGAGCGGAGACCGGCGGCGACGGCTGCTGCGACGGCTGGGCCGGAACACTCGGACCGGCAGAGGCAGGACGACCGTCGGCGGAACCCTCAACAGCAGCACCCCTAGAACCAACACCCCCAGAGTGAGAACCCCCTCCAACACCAGCGTTACCCCCAGGAGCTGCAGGACGAACACCCTCCTCCACACCAGCACCCCAGGGGCCAAGAGCGGCGGCGACGGCAGCGGCGGAGGCGGCAGCGGCGTCTGCAGCGGAGGCGGCGACTGCGACAGTGGAGGCGAAGACACCAGGGAAGGGGGACGCAGCAAGGACGGGCCGGGGGTACCACCAGAGTCAGCGGACTCCTCAACGGGGATAACCGACGGGAGGGGAGTGACGTGAGAGACACCAGACGGGGCAGGGCGAGGCGAGAGAGGAGCACGGGCTACCGGGGGAGAGGGAGCAAGGAACAGGGGCGGGGCAACGGGGAGACCTCGGTGAGGGAAGCGGCGGTAGATAGGAGACAGACTCGTCAAAGGTGACGTCACGAGAGTGGAGGAAGCGGTGAAGACGGCGGGTGGTAGAAAAGCCAGTCTGACGAGTCCAGGGGGAACCGAGGAAGAACAGGGGACAGTGCGGGCAGTGAGCTTGTCCGTGCCAGAGGCACGAACGTGAGCGAGGCAGCCCAGACGTGGAACGCCACGCATCACCGGGGGAACCGGTGCAAAGGAGGGTCAGCAAAACCTGCGGCCGCTGGGAGCGTGGCCACAGTTAAGCTGGTGAGCAGCGTAGCGAATAGCGAACGGCCACAGAAAATGGGGGCATCGGCATGAAACATGGAGGTACGGGCGACCTCCATGACCAAGCCGATGCGGCGCTCAGCAACCCCATTCTGCTGTGGGGAGTGGCAAGGTGTACGACTGGGTGATGCCCTCCGCACGACAGAACTGTCCAAGCCGACCAGAGGCGAACTCGCCGCCACGGTCAGAGTGGAGACACAACACGGGGAGACCGCGGTGAAGACGCACAGCCACAACCCACGGGAGAAGTGGAGAACGTCGGGCACGTCGGCCTTCCGCTCCAGGGGAAACACGTGGTGTAGCGCGTGTAGTCATCGACGAGCACAAGGAAGTAGTGCTCACCTCGCGGTCCGGGGACGGGGGCAGGGCCCCAAACGTCCAGGTGCAGGGTCTGAAGGGGGCAGTAGCAGGGCGCTGCGAGGAGGAGTGAGGAGACGGCGGAGCCGGCCCTCGACGCAAGGCGTGCACGGTGGCGCAGTCGAGGGAGGAAGGGCAGGGAGCACGCGGGGAGACCTAAGACAAGACCGTGCTGGGACATGTGACGCAGACGTGGGAGAGCAGGGTGACCTAGGCGGTGGTGCCAGAGAAGGGACGGGTGAGTGAGGGACCGACACGAGCAAGCTACAGCGACCTGGGAGGACGCACCAACAGGGGGGAAGCGGTGTCGAGGGTCAACAGACCGGACACCGGGTCCGGGGGAATGTCGCAAGGGGGAACATGAGACAGCCTCAGAACAGACAGCGAACCGCTCATGCCCGGGGAACGTGGTGGTGACGCCGAGGTCCTGGAGACAGCCGACACCAACCAGGTTCCTCGAGAACGAGGGAACGTGTAGGCCTGTAAGGGAGCCCGAGGGAACTGCTGGACAGGGAAGGGACGTAGAACTGCGAGCGGCGTCAGGACCCGCAGAGGGGTTAGCGAGAGAGACAACAGCAGGCGTAGCAAGCGGTGTGAGCACGGAACGGTCGCGGAAGAAGTAGGCAGAAGCACTGGAGTCGAGAGTGAAGGACAGTGAAGCAGTGGCGGAGGCCGGGAACGGAGCCGGTGCAGAGACTAGGCTAGGCAAACTAGGCAGTCCTACGCCTGACGCAGGGGAGGCTAAGCTACACAACGGTGCAACACCTAAACTAGAGTACACAGGGTAATAAGATCCAGCAACACTAGAAGCGTCAGAATACAAGGCATGCAAAGCAGCACCTATCTGATCCATGTGTAACTCAAAGATCGGCACGCCCTGGCGGAGCAGGCTGTGCCAGTCGGGGAGGTCCGGGGCCGGGCCAAAGCGACGACGAAAGAGATCGTCGAGGTGGCGGAAACAGCGCGGTCGGGTGCGGGCGGCGGCACAGAGTGCCGCGAAGAGGCCCGGTCTGAAGCTGGTACTGGCAAGTGACAGCACCGGAGCCGCCGGTAGACACGAGCTACGCGGGCCGCCACCACGGCCACTACCTCCGGAGGTGCCGGGCCAACCAGGCGGGGACGGGCCCACGGCTGCGGCGACTGCTGCTGGGACGGCGGCTGCTACTAGGACGGCGGCTGCTGCTGGGGCTGCTCCTGCTGCGGCTGGGGCTGCTGCTCCTGCCACCGGTGGTAGTCCCCTCAGGCGG